CTCCCCAACATGGGCCGCACCACCACCCGCCTGCCTACCTGCCACCCTACGGTGGCTTCTCCCCCGCCGCCGAACCAATGCTGACTTGTCCCCCGCCGGCCTGCGCGCCTCATGCTCTCCGTGGCTTGTCCCCCACCGCCGAACCAACAGGTCAATGTGGAGCATGTACTGCCTCTGAGCAGCCAGGGAGTCGCGGCACTGGCCCCGCGGTGTGGCTCAACGGGGGGACTCACTAGCGGCCTGCTGGGGGGAGGCAGTGGCGGTGGTGGCGGTGGCGGTGGCGGTGCTGCCACTGCTGCTACTGTCAGCGATGTGGTAGCATGCAGCCTGAAGACCGCAGCGGGTTCAGCGCAGGTAAGGAGGGTGGTGGTGGTGGTGGTGGCGGCTGCTGTCCAGTCTTCCGGCAGTGGACGACAGGACATGCGGCTGCTATATGCTTCATTTCTGGTATCTCGCCTTTCCTACGTCTCGCTACCTCGCTGTCTGGTGGTGTCGGGAAATGCTTGCCGCTCACCCCCTCCCCCATTTCCTGGCCTCATCTGCCCGCATTACCTAACCACCAGCCCAACCAACCGCCCGCAGCAACAAAGCGCCTACCAGCCGGGCCCCACCAACACCGCACCCGACTCCGGCCACCAAGACCCCGCAACCGGAGCCGACTCAACCACCCACGGAGGGCTATCGGCAGCGCAGATCATTCTCGCAGTCGCGGGTTCGGTGGTGCTCGCGGGCGCGGTGTGCACGGCGTGTTTGGTGCTGCTGGTAGGGGCAGCGCGGCGGCGCAGGCGGCAGAAAGAGGAGGAGAAGGACGCGACGAGTGCGGAGCAGCAGCAATCGCAGGTGGGCGACGGTATGGTTGTCTTGGATGCTTAGGAGGTCTCTCGCCGGACCGCTCACTGTCCATGCTTGACCACACACCGCCACAAACCGCTGTCCCATGGCAATCCCTGGCAGGTTCGCGCACCAACCAGCGGCGGTGGCGATGACGGCGGCCTAGACACACTCAACCCGATGGCTACAACCACCACCTCCCCAAGCTCCTCCGCTGCTGCCGATACCGCCGCCGGAAGTGCTACGGCAACAGCAGCAGCAGCAGCAGCAACAACAGAATGGCGCGCCTCCGCCTCCGCCGCCTCCACCTCCGCCGCCACCGCCAGGGGTCGTAGACCCGGTGGCGTGCTGCGGCGGCGGGTGTCATGGGCGATGCTGACCCCGGCAACAACACGCAACAACACCAGCGCAGCAGCAGCAGACGACGCGGTGACGGCATTCAGCAGCCCTGAGGGTGAGGGTCTGGGTGTGTTGGGCTTGCTGGTTTACCCGAGCAGCAGACCTTCTGATGAGGAGACGGGCGAGGCTGGGTCGCTTCGTCGGATACATAGTCCCAGTGGCAGTAGCGGCGGCGGTGGCGGCGGCAATGGCAACGGCAGCGGCGGCGGTGGCCGAGCCGCCACGGCTGCTACTGCTGCTGCAGGCATCCGTGCTGCTGCCATGCATGAAGACCGAGGCATGTCGAGCCCCAGGGCTGCAACGAGCAAAGCAATGGCATGGGGTACGACAGGCGGGTCCCACAGCCCTCATAGTGGCAGCAGTAGCAGCAGCGGGCAGGTGACGGTGAGGGTCCAGAAGGTGAACCAGGAGGAGGGTGAAGCAGCTACCGGGGGGTCCACCGCAGCAGCAGCGACTGCTGCTGCTGCTGCTTCCTGCTGCTCGGATGGTGCCGGCGGCCTCGCTGCTGCTGCTGCTGCACCTTGGGTGGTGGCAAGGGGCAAGGGCACTGTTGGGTCGCCGCCTCGTGACGTCTTGCAGCGTGGGCCTTCTCATGCTTGGCTTGCTAATGTCGAGACGGCTGAATCCGCTGCAGAGGTAAGGGCAGTGGCAGCGGCAGCGCAATGCAAGGCAGGTAGCAGCAGCATGGGGGGATGGAGCAGGGCTTGCAGCAGCGGTGGCAGCAGCAGCAGTGGAAGCGGACGTGGAAGCGGAAGCAGGCCCGCATCCAGCATGGACGTTGGCGAGGGTGAGGGAAGGATGGGAGTTGGAAGACGCGTTAGTAATGGTAGCAGCAGCAGCAGCAGCGGCGGCGGCGGCGGCAGTGACAGCCGCGGCGGGTCCAACGCCGGCGGTTGGGGGTCGTTGTTACGGCCCCAGGGGCGCAGTAGCGGCTTTGGAGAAGACCAACAACAGCATAACCTTCAAGAGTTGTTGCCGGCGGCTGAGCATGCAGAGCCGGGACCGCACAACATGCATGCGGGGGCAGAACAACCAGCTGGCTGTGCGCCGCCACAAAGCACGCCCGCCCGAACAAGCATGGAAACACCAAGCGTCGTCGCAGCAGCTGCTGCTGCTTCCAGCGCCGCTACGATGCAAAGGGTTGACAGCAGCAGTGCCGGCGGCGGCGGCGGCAGCGACGCCGGAACTAGTACGCGTAGCGTTACAAGCAGCACCGGCAGCGGCGGCGGCGGTGTCGGGGTGTGCACGGTGCATGCGAGCGGCGGTGGCGGCGGTGGCGGTTTCGCCGGGGGTGGCGGTATAGCTCGGCGGCGGTCATCCGGTTACTACTGGCGAGCGCATGTGGCGGTTGAGGACGCCGCTGCCCTCGAGGGCGACGGAGACCCTTCCTGGGGATCTCTGGAGACCACTCGTCGGGGAGCACCCTCGGCGCCCAACCTAGCAGCTGCAACCGGCAACTGGCGCAGCAGGCATGGTAGTAGCGGCGGCGGCGGCGACGCTGGTGGTGCTGCTGGCAGCAGCTCGCGTCATCATGGTGGGTTGTGGCACCGCTCGCGTGCTGAGGCCGCGGCTGCCGCCACCGCCGCCGCAGCAACTGCCCTTCGGCATGCGTCGGACGCGGGTGCGAGCGGCGCGGAAGCCGATGTGGAGAGGGGTGCGGTGAGCAAAGGAATGGACCCGCCGATACCGGGAAAACACCCGGGACGCCTGCAGTGGCTTGGCAACAGCGCTGTGAGCCCGGAGATGCAGCGCAAGGCATCGAGTAGCAGCAGCAGCGGTGGTGGCGGTGGTGGTGGTGGCAGCGGGGAAGGTGGAAGGAAGGAGCAAGCGGCAGGTACCAGTAACACCGCTGTCGCCGGCAGCGACGGCGGTGTCTCTCGCCATCGGACATCGCAGCAGCAGCGGAAACATCAACAACAGTCGGTGTTTGACAACGACGGCGGCGGTGGCAACCAGGCACCCTCCGGCTCCCACCGTGCTGTGGGTTGGGCGGACAACGGCACGGCAGCAGCAGCAGCAGCAGCAGCAGCGCTTCCCGCCAGCCGCCTCCGCCGGGGCCTGGGCAATGACGCGGGTGGGACGGAGCGAGCGGCGTCATTGCCCTTGCCGATAGCAGGCGGCTGGACTATTGGTGTGGGAAGACCAACAGCCGCGTTGTTTGCCGGCGGCGGCGGCGCCGGCGGCGTCCAAGATGATGCTGATGACGAAGACGAAGTTGGCGATGGTTCGCAGGTGAATAACCCTGATCCGGGCGACATCATGAGAGGAGGTATGCATATGGGTCAAAACGAGGACGCTAGCAGCGACAATGATACCGGTAGTAGGGTCCGACACGGTGGGGGTGGGCACGGGGCACCGGTGCGGGGGCGCCATAACGAGCATGGTGAGCCTGAAGAGGAGCATGAGGGGGAGCGGTACGGCTCCGTTGTGCCGACGTACGGTAACGTAGCTATGGCGTGGCTGGGTCGTGGAACCGGTGTTAGCGGTGTGGGGGGCGAAAAGGGATCGCAGCAGTCGAAGCGCATGGGCGTGTCAAGTAATACCGGTAAGCAACCAACAGGGAATGATGAGGATTTGGAGGTGACGTTGCCGGGGGGCAGTTTCAGTTATGCGGTGGTACGGCAGCAGCTGCCTCGAGCCCGGACTGCTCCCGCCCCGCCGCCGCCACCGCCCGGCCATCCTAGCCTCCTGGGAGTAAGTGAAGGTGGAGGAGGGGCAGGAGGAGGTGGTGGTAGCGGGAGAAGAGGAGGTGGAGGAGGCGGAAGCGAAGTGGGAGGGGGAGGAAGGCAGTATCACTCGGATTGCTTTGCGGGGGCGCATGTGGCTGTGGGGCATCCGGACGTTCCGACGCTAGGAGAGGGCGAGGGAGGAGGGGAGCGGGAAGGAGCGGCGAGTGACAGCAGCAGTGATGATAGTGGTGGTGATGTTGATGATTACGAGGGCACCGGCGGTGGTGTGGGTAGCTGGGTGGGCGGTGCTGTGCCGTGGCTCCCCTCCAATCCCAATACCGGTAACAGGAGTCTGAGGCCGCAGGGCAGTCTGAGGCCGTCACTTGCTGCTGCTGCTGCTGCTGCTGTTGGTGCTGCTGCTGCTGGTGGTGGCAGCCATTCAATAGGTTGCGGCAGGAGGGCTGATCCGGAGGGTACAGCGCCGCGAGAGGGGATCAGCCGAGATGGAAGTGGTGGCAGTAGTAGTGGCGGAAGCGAGGGGGGTGCGGGTGGGGATGGGAGAGGGGGTGGGGGTGCTGCCACCGCGGCTGCTGCTGCGCTGCTGCGAGGGTTGCAGCAGCTGCCGCAGTCAAGGGCTTCCTCACAGGTTTGGCCGCAGGTGCTGCCGCTACGGCCGCCTTCGCTGCTGTCGTCCCCGCGCGGGTCGATTGTACAGCGCCAGGAGAGCAGCAACATGCAGCGGACTGCTGCACGGGAGGCCAGCAGCGGTGGTGGTGGCGGGGGCGGAGGTGGCGGAGTAGGTGGTTGGATGCAGGGTAGGGTGGAGGGGCCGGAGGTGGCAGAAGGTGCGGAGGGAGGTGCTGGGGAGGTGGCGACGGGGCGTGCGGCAAGGGTTTCCGTGCGTGCTGCTGCTGTGCTGTCGCGCTTGAAACGCGCGTCGACTGGACAGTTGTACGACTTATCGTGATAAGGGGTTGGTTAGAGGTGCTTGCTTGGGAATGGCGGCTTAACCTGGCTAACATGTTTATTCCTGTGACAATACTGCGTGGACGCATCAGTCGTGCAGCTTTTGGCTAAATCAGGATATCTTGAAAACATGTACTGGTTTTGTTAATGTGTCTTTTGATGTAGGAATGGCCGCAGCATTTCATGGTGATAACGGTTAGTTGCTGTGGGTGGCAGCTGCGTAGCTTCAGCATGTTGCCAGCTGTACTACGGGTACAATGCGCAAACCTGCGCAGACCCAAAAAACGTTTGCGACATTAGGTCATACCGTACTGCCGTGCGTACGGTATACGGCATTGCACAGCTTTAACGCAACTCTTAGCCGTACATCTCAAACCCTAGCTTCACATGCAAAAGCACAAGTCACCGGTATCTATCAAGAATACCACATGGGAACAGCAGAAAGCAAGAAGACACGTTCCGATACCGGTATTACAACAAGAAACAAGCCAACGTCTCACAACGAGCAGCAAATTAACAGTTGCATCAGGAGGTGTTAGATCGTGTCAGCCCCTGTAACGGGATCAATTCACACTCCTGGCAGGAACATGCATGAATGGCAAAACCCCCGAATACGGGTGAAAACAGCCCTCGTCAGTAGTGTCTGCAGGGTGCGTGGCCACATGACACGCCTGACACGCACATCAGCTGGCATCTCACGCTGCCAGCAAGTTCAATTAGGTGTAGAGCATGCAGCCAAGCATGTAGTAAGCCGTAGACTCCCAATCAATTGCTATAGAACCATGTATAAGACATACCTAAACGCTGTGCGCTGTACAAGAATGAAGGCAGATTATGAGACAGTTAGACACCACCACCGAGCATCACGCTGGGGGAAGGCAGGTACCGCAGGCAGGAGGGGAGGCATCCTCCAGCGCCGCACACGCCTCAGGTCTGTGCAACCAACACGTCCATCGCCGTGAATGGCCGCTGCTGTTTTGGATCGCAAAAATGCAAAACACGTCCGCATGCCGCAGTTATGTCCCGGCCTATCTAAACACGCCTGTCTACACAGTCCGACGGAGAAACGGGTTGCCAGGTAAACGTTGCCATAACGTCACACGACTGATGATCACATCACGTCGTAATTTCCATGACGCGCTTTATTGCACAGTAACGGCCACAGGGCGGGCAACGCCGGGTACTCGCCGGGCGTCCTGGATGCTCGCCGTTCTACGGAGCTCCTATCTGCTTGCCTCAGAACGTCTCAAAACTACGCTCGCCATACAACCCAAAGGGCCGAGCTTTTTCGGGTGGCTTGTAAGGCACCACAAACAGACCCACGTAATTCGTCTGTGAGTGTTAAGTTAAGAAAACTGTCCGGTTAGTGAAAGACGCTTTCCTCACAAGGACGGGTACGCCTGCTCCACGCGTCGCATGGGCGTCACATTCGAGTAGTACGCCCCAGAAACCGCAACGCCGCGCGTGCGCTGCCGCACCGCCGAGCCGCCAGATCGCCCATTGACCCGTGGGTCACTTGCCATGCCACCCTCCACACAAGGCTCGCCGCCGCCCAGCGACGGCCCCGCCGGGCCCGTCGGCGGCGCCCTGTCATGAGCGTAACCCAATCCGAGTGCCGTACCGTCGGGGCTAACCTCGGGGCCGGGGCTGCTCCGTGCCACGCCACCTCCACCGCCGGCACCGCCAGCAGCGGCATGTACGGCATTCCGACCCGTGCTCGATGGCGTGCCGTACGGCAAGCCGGAATGTACGGCACTGCCATTGTACGGAAGAGCGCTCCCTCCGCCGCCGCCACGTCCATGGCTCATGGTACTCCCCTGCGCGCCGTTGCCCAGCATGCTGCCCCCACCACCGCCACCGCCACCGCCACCTCCTCCCGTCTCCACGTCGACAGAGGCTTGTGTCGGCAGAAAACCATACGGCATGTGGCGATTTGCCTCCCCGCCGCCGCCGCCGCCGCCGCCACCGTCACCGTTGTCGTCGCTGTAGCCATGGTGCAGGGCTCCGCTGCCGCCGCCGCCAGCTAGGTTGCCGCCGCCGTCGGGGCTGTATGCGGCTTCATGCGACACGTTGTCGAATCCAGCTACCTGTCAAATTGTCATGTCATGACGGTAAGCAACGTAGCACACTGCATAATGTATGAAAAACACACTTGTAAGGGTTGTGATCTTGCGCCGGGTTCACTTGCAGGGACAGGTCACGAGCGCACCACAAGCATCCATGCATTAGCTGGCACGAGCGCCCCTCAACCCTCACCCTGCCAATCGTGGTCCACAACGTGCGAAGCCGCGGACCCCAGCCTCCGCCGCCGCCACCACCTCCGCCACCGCCATCGCCTCCAGCAGAGCCACCCATGTCTCCTCTGGCGCCGCCGCCGCCGTCGTCCGGCCTGTGTAAAGGTGGCCCAAGTCATTGTTCAGTCGAATAACCTGTCGGACAACCCACCATGTAGCACCTAAAACCCCGCGAACGCCAGCATGTAAGGAGAGGCCCTTTTGTCAACCCCTCCTGCGAGATAACAAGCACCCGGAACAAGGACACAGTTTTCGGCCAAGCTGACCCATGGGTCATGCCATGCGGGCGCACCCGCACACCGCTCACCCTCGAGCGACTCCCATTGTTCTTAACGCCGGCGTCAGGAAGTTGCTGACCAGGAAGTCCGCGATGCCGCCGCCACCGCCGCCGGGACTGCCAGCGGACCGACGAGCCGCCGCCGCCGCCTCCAGCGCCGCCGCCCTGTCAGCCATGCAGCTGCGCGCGATTGTGATGACCAGCACCAGCAGCACGAGACCCGCGTTGGATGCGGCGACGATGACAAGACTCAGAGACAACCTGCGTGCGGGATACAAATGTGTGGCTACATCAAAACGGATCGCGAGTCCTTACGTGCTACTATTGCCAGAAGACGAGAGTGCTCAGTGAGGGAAAAATAACCCCCGGTGTGCTCCTCAAGAGTATGGATGGGTGCCTACAACGCATGACGGCATGCCAACGATAGCACCACATGCTCGCCGCAAGCCCAACCCTTTTGGCGGGACTATGCCCTTCTTCCCTCTCCCTCCACCCCTACCTCTGGCGGCGGTCCAAATAGATCCAGGTCACCAGCGCTCCATCCAGCAGCAGCAGCGCTATGATGGACAGCAGGCACACCCCGCAATGCAGGAACAGCCGCACACCGGCCCGCTTCACGCTGCTGCGAATGGCGCGCTGAAGAGGCGGAAGCACCGTGCCGCCGGGTCCGCCGCCGCCCACGCCGCCGCCTCTGGCGGCGGCGCCTGACGGCGCCGTCGCGGCCTCACGGCCGCCTCCGGCGGCCGTCGCGGCGGCTGCGCCGCCGCGTGACGCTACAGCAGCCGCTTCTGCCTTCGCCGCCGCCTCCGCCCTAGCGGCAGCTTCCTCGAGGTTTTGCCAGCCATGGAGGTGGTTGTGGGTGGCATGTAGGGTCCGTTGCTGGTCGTCGGAACCGGTTACGTTGGAACTGTATTGTTGAAGAAGCGACGGCTGCTGCTGCTGCTGGTGTGGCGGCTGGCCGCTGGCGTCACCGCCGCTGCCTCCGGTAGCCGCCCCTCCATATCCACCACCATTACCACCAGCAACAGCGGAGGCGGCGGTGGCGGAGGCTGCGAGGCTGTAGAGTGTGGGTGTGGTCCGGCCGGCAATCATGAAGGCACTGCTGAGGCCCCGATTGGTCCCGCCGCTTCGAAAGCATGGCATGCAAGCGGGTGGCACATACACATGCAAAGTAAGTCCCATGTCCTCATGCAAGTGCCTCACAAGCGAGTAAGTCACATGCACGCAAGCATAGCAAGTCGCAAATACCGTACATAAGCAACTGAGTATGCACAAGCAACCGCAAGGACAGTCATCGCAGTCATCATGACAGCGTCATTCTCACCGGTCCATAAGCCCCTCGGGCGCAGGGGACAGCTCAACGGACACACTGGAACCGTTACCGTTACCGCGGCCCGTCGTACGTCCGTCATCTTGCCGTACATTCTGCCCGGATACGTTACTGCTGTCGTGTCCTCCTGTGCGGGATATAGTATGTCAGCAACAGGCCACTGCTTATCACAACAGGATTGATTTCTACGTCTGCAAGCCTTTGGGAGCGCGCAACTTTAGGAACACAGAGGGTGGCCATGTGCTCAGGCTTAACGACCCCACAGGCTCTGCTGTAGCCCAATCCAACCCTAACAGCACACTCGCAGCCATGGCATGCCCACCCGCAATGTTCACAGCCGTCGACATCCTGCGCCACCGCTTCAGCCCCTGCGTCAGCCCAGTTATGCTCCGAGTAAACGCCGAGGAGGAGGCCCCCCCGCCTCCCTCGGTGCCTTGCGCCGACCCATGGGTCACCACACCGCCTTTGGAAGAGCCATCTCCCGTTGCTTCTGCTGCACCTCCCGACGTAACGCCCCCCGCCACGATGCTAGCTGGGCTCCCCCTTGCAAGGTCCGGCGCACTGTTTGCCCCAAACACAGGTGATACCCGCTCGGCAGAAGCAGCTGCAGAAGCAGCACCCCCGACCTGCTCCTTCGGCTGGTCCTCGCCACTGCCGCCGCCTCCCCCGCCTTCTGCTGCTGCAGCCCGTGCCGCTGCTGACTCGAATCCAACCTCAGCACCAACAACCGGGTTGAAAAAGGCATAACTGTTGCTAGACCCTAACACAGCTGCTCTCTCCTCGGCAGCTGAACCGGCTGCAATGGCAGTCCGGCTCCCTTGCTGCGAGTGCGCTGTCGCAGTGTTGCTGTCCCTTGCTTTGTCCGAAGCAGCAACAGCAGCAGGAGCGAGCCCTCCTCCTTCACCGGCGGCGCATGCTGCATCGGCCGCCACCGCCACCTCCACATGCGCCCGCTGCTGCTGCTGCTCTTGTAATCCTGGCAGCAGCGGCTGCTGAGGCGGCTGCCTCGTGCCGAAACCCAGCAGCGCACCGCCTACGGAGGTTGCCAAACCCCATAGCAAGCCGGGGCCCCGCACGGGGCGACCCACAAGGGCGTCCTTCTCCTGCCCCTGATGGGTACCGTCTGCGGGGTGGAGGTGTGGTTGCTGTTCCTGCTCCGGCGGCTGCTGTCTGCTTGCCAGCAAGGCTGCAGGCCAGGAGAGCAGCCAGGAGGCACCCGTCGCGACTGCAGAGGCGACGGAGTAGGGGCCGGCCATGGTCGACCATCCTGACGGCATCTGCTGCTCTTGGGAACCGCCGGCGCTACCCGGAATGGCTTCCAGAACACGACCTGCATGGGGGTAGTGGTAGCCGGCCGGGGTAGTGGTGACAGCAAATGCTGTGCTAGGGACCGGCCCCCCACCCGCGCTGCCAGTCATCGCACCCGCCGGGACGAGGAAAGCATCCACCGGCTGCTGCAGGTGCTGATGAGATGGAGGTTGCGGGAGGGGAGGGAGGTCGATAGCGAAGCTAAGTGAGGGCTCCTGCAGCGTGTCGTTGTTGTTGTTGGGGGAGCTGTTGGGCTGGGCCTGCTCTTGCCGGGCCTGCTCCTGCTGCTGCTGTTCTTGTTGGGAGAAAACAGAGGCTCCGCTGTTTCCCAAGGCCCGTGGAAGCTCACAACAATCCTCAGGGCCGGCGCTAGCAGCGCTAGCGCTGTTCTGGCGCTGGTGTCGATGTTGGGAATGGTTTTGGAGGTGGTGGTGGGTGTTGCCATGGAGGTGGTGTTTCAAATGCACTTGAATGTGGCCATGTCCATGTGCGTGAGCCGTGGGGCCATGCGATACATGGTGGCGGCTGTTGCTGCCAGCAAGCACCTGGGACGTAGCGGCGGTGTTGCTGCCAGCACCGCCACTGCTGTGGCGACTATGAAGGCTGCCGATGGCTGCTGCGACCTTGCCGCCCTCGGCACCGGCAGCACTCGTAGCACCAGCGCTGTCACCTCGTAGCTGCGGCTGCTGCTGTTGTGGTTGTGGTTGGGGGCCATGCCTGGTTGCAGATGCAGGAGCATCGTGCGGATGTACGGCAAGAGCTGTGCCAGTGGTGGCGTGCTGTACGACAGCCATGGTGAGGTGAGTTGCGACTGATTGTACGACGAGGGCGAGACGGTCAGCTGCGCAGTCGGGGGGTGAGGGTGGGTGGGTGTGCGGACAGGGAATGGGTCAGGGAGAAGGATTGGTTGGATCTGGATGGATGGCGTTGTGCTGATAAGGGTCGACAACTATAAGGACATACGCTGCTGCTGGCATGGGGTTTGTAGACATGACCCATCTGGCATGGATACTTAGACCCCTCATCACTTTCAGTTCAAACCCCAGGCTCCGACGTGTCCCCTTTCTTATCCTCGCCGCCCCCTTACGCACCTGTCAGCCGCGCCTGCAGCCCTCGCTGGCTATCTCCCGGCAAGCAGTGCTCCCAGAATGCACGTTCCAGTGCCGCATCCAACATGGCCCGGCCGACCCGTGGGTCACCGCTGTCACCTGTCCCAACAGCGCCACTCGCTGAACCTCCTGCAATTCCGCCATCCGTTCCTTCCGATCTTTGCAGCTGAGGCGGCGGCAGACCCGGCTGTTTGGGCCGCGGCAGGGGCGGCAGGCGCAGCAGTAAGCGACCGGCGGCGGCCACTGCTGCTAGCAGGCCGCTCAGTCGGAGCAGCTGCGCCAAGGTGAGGTATCCGGCGCCGTCCCTGACAGCGGGAATGCAGCAAGGCAAAAGCGAAACCGGCGGTATATTGCATGGATGCATGTACAAGGCAAGTACGCACGCACAGGTCTGTAATTAGCATCTGGAGCAGCCGCAGCTTGGACAGGTGTTTGTCCACGCGCGCAGTGACCCATGGGTCCACGCGACCAACAATCTCTTTCCCTAACCCACCTGTCCAGGGTCCAGAACGCCGCATGCGCCCGCTCCTCCAAACTGCCGCTGCCCACCAGTGCCACAAACACAACCTGCCGCACGGTGGCAGCGAACATAATCAGGAAAGGCATGCCAAAAGCCGCGATGGCTTCACAGCCGTCAATTGCTTGGCACCATTAGGACGCTGGAGCTGTCTTGCCATGGTGAGCCGTTACCTTGCCATGGACCCCTCTCAGTGCGCTAGTACTCCAGAAGCAATGCATGGTGCCTGCCCGCTTAACCCCAGAGCTCAGGACGTCGTGGCTCGCCTTTCCGCAACCCTCGTTTCTCGTGTAGGGCCCTCCTACCAAGCTCCCCCATCAGAACAACCCACATCAGATCAACATGAAAGCAACTGCCATCATGGAAAGCAACCATGAAGCCTTCCCCGCAAGCAAAAGCCCCACCCCACCCCACCCTACCATGACGTCTAGCGGAACCACGCGACTCATGCCGAAGCCCATAAGGCCCCCATGGCCGACATTTCCGGCGCTGCCCAGGCTCACAGCCCGTCTGTGGAAGCTACCGCCGGCGCCTGCTGCTGCGCTGCCACCACGAAGGGTGTCCCCATGTGCGCCTGCATTTCCGCCGCTGCCGCCGATACCCGCGCTGGGGCTTTGGAAGCTGAACTGTGAGCGCTGCTGAGGGCCGCCGGCTGCACAAAATGAGGATGCTGGTAAGGAGCCCCAAGCAGACCATTGCACGAGCTCTTCAAGCACTACCTCGGGTACGACATCCTGGGTACGGCAGGGTGCAGTACGGCGAGTGCGTCCCAACTCAGGAGGGCTTTGGTTGGGCAGGGTGCAGTGTAAGAGTTTGCAGGAAGGTCAAGCGGCGGGTATGAAATGACCTTTTCAGGCCGAGGGACGGAAGCCAGTCAAGTGTGCAATTAACAACACCGGAGGCGAAAATTGTTGGTGTAATATGCAACGCCCCCTTATACCCCGGCCAACCCGGACGGGTCCGATGCAACAGCCACGTCCGCCACAACGATGCTTCATACACTGCTTCGCCGACCCGTCCGACACAAAGCCTAAGGTGGGGTTACCTGGGGAAAGCAGGCAAACTGGCGGATAATAGCCACCGCTGCCGACTCCGCAAGGACATCAACTACAGAGCTGCGGGATGTCCCGTGTCCAGCGCCTGTTAGCACCGCAATAACCAACAAGGTATCGTTTTACATAGAATATGACGCTGCGTTAGGTCCGTGTATTTTAAAGCTCTCACCAACAGCTTGTAAGATGAGTGCAAACGCAGCTGACACTGGCTGAGCAGGTTCCCATACGAGCGAGTGCTCCACTACGGACACAAGACTCTCCACAAGGCTAAGCATTGTGCGCTGGAGGCGCACAAAATGAAGCTAAGCGGCGAATTTCAAGGGGTCCAAGGACGTTCTCGCGTTCATGTCCGCAAGGTACGGCAGAGTAACAATATCACTATTAATTGGAACAGTATCTTTACCCTAAAATGGATATGGGAGGAACTAGAAGTGGACCCAACATTGTTTGCAGTAAATGAGACCGTACGGCATTAGTTCCTGTCCCTGTTACTCTTTGCTGCACAACATGTTGGTATTGTCTTTATTTAAAAGGAAAGCAAACATGTGCCCTGGACATCTGCGCAAGAGCTTGGACACGCGTTGCGACCATGGGAACAAGTTGGTAGGGCGCAGTAGTTGAACAAAGCGTGACCTGCGATTTTGCAAGCCCAAGGTACATATATCTGGGCACCTATAATAAGTCCAGCCGGAGGGACCGCAAATGGACCGCAGCGGTTCGGCCAATACAGGAGCGAAACCTCGAAAGGAACTGTGAGTACAAGCAAGTTACTCCATGGTATTCTTGTTCTGGCCTTATACTCTTCGGGCCATGTTTCTTGGCATAAGCTTCTTGACGCTTGGGCCTGCCATTTCCCCCATCGCTATTCAGGAACTGGTGGCACAGCTTCAACTCCTGGTAAGTATTCTTTGCTCGTCTTATTAAAAGGTCGTATCAGGTCGTAAATAGTGCTGATTGATTTTTTTCTGAACAGGTGGCGAGATGAGTATGATAGACTGGGCCGCCGGCCAAGAATGCAAGAAGTTGACGAGTAAGTAGCATTTGGGCTGCTGGATTGTTCGTCCAGCTAGGGTTCGAGGGGCCATACTATAGTTTGGGGCTATCTGCTAGCATACCTGTGACCCCAGGTGTACGCTTACGGCCACAAAACCTTGATCATGCTAAAGGCTTTAGCGGAATACCCCACGATGCCTTGTTCAGGCGGGCTATACCGTGCATTTTATGACTGGACATCCAGACCGAACCTATCTAGGTATCTTCTTGCTTCGGGCGTGCACATACGTGTACTGCCTATTTCTGCATGTTAGGCTTTATACGTTTACCCATTGATGGGCATATGCTTATCAGGCAACAGCCGCCGCTAGATGAGGTGATTGTCAGCAACATACGCGGCTTCGGCGTGGTCGCCTCCGGCAAGCGCCATAGTTAGTGTGACGCGATCAACAGGGTTTAATGGGCATAGTGGATTCTGAAACCGTGTACCGTAACACGTTGTACCCAGGGATGCTCGGTTGCCGTCAATAGTTATAATGCCGCCTGTTTCCCTTTACTACCTTGTGCTTTCCTAGTTGGTACCGGGAGAATGCCGAGCGCATCTGGGGTGCGGAGAAGCCGTCCTTGGAGGCCACCCGTGACCACGCCAAGTGCCTGCGGAGCAAGAAGGAGCTCCGGGAGTATTTCCAGCGTTACAATGCCAGAAAGGTTGGTGCAAAGTGCTTGTGGCCTAGGAGGAACATTAGCTAAACATGGTTAGCAGGGTATCACACACATAGGCATTCCCATGGCGGCTCCGCAACAGCTCCCGCACAAAGCATATATGGCTGGACAGTTGGAATCACGACGACCCCGCTAACCTGCAGTTCGGACGGCCCTTTGCCAGGGGAGGAGCAACAAGAAGCAGTGCAGCGAGGGCTTCTCACCCGGATCAGCATCCGATCCTGGCTTTGGCAGCGGTGACCTAGACACTGGCGGTGGCGGTGGCGGTACCAGCGGCCTGGCGACAGCGCAGCAGCCCACCATTGCTTCCACGCCCGCCTCAGCCCTTACCCACCCCCTGCATGACTGCAGCGGCATGGGCGGTGGTGGCGGTGGCCGGAGCTATTACAGTGAGGGTACGGCGCTTCCCGTACCGGTATCTGGATCAGGCGGTGATGTTCTGTTGGCACTGCAGGCCCTCAGTCAAGTCTTGGGAGGGACACATCCGTCAATGACGGCGCCGGCAGGTTGCATCTCGGGGCCACTGCAGCAGCAACAACAACAACACGCACTGCAGCAACCGGCGCATGCAGGATTGCTACCTGCAGGCGGACTGCAATCACAACAACAACAAACTGCAGCACCGCAGCAGCTGCTGCAGCGCCGTGACTCCCTAGGGCGCACCCTCACTCCAGACACGCTCTCTGCAGCCAACGACGACTCCCCCAGCATCCTAGCCGCAGCCGCCGGCGCAGCAGCCGCAGCCGCAGACCCCCTAGGTACCGGCTGCTGCACCTCCGCCGGTCATCCCACACGCGATACCGCGCCGCCCGCCACCACCTTCACAGCCTCTTGTTCGATGCCCGGAGTCGCGATCCGCAGCAGCGGCCTCGGCGGGGGCGCGCCTCGGCAGTCCTTGTCTCACTCCCATAGCCAGGTCAACCGCACCTCGCTAAGCGGGGCCGTGACAGCCACAATGGCGCGCAGCAGCGCAGCCCCTGTAACTGCGGAGGAGGAGGATGGCGTGGCAGGCGGCCGCCATGCCATGCCGCCGCCGCCTCGAGCTGTGTCGGAGACCTTGGGCTCAGCGGATGGGTCCTGTCTGGGGAACAGGTCGCTTGTGACGAGATGGCTTGCGGGCTTGGCGTCGACGGCCTTGGGGAAAGGCGCACAAGGCGTGGGGCCCGGACCTGGGTTTGGGTTTGACATGGCGGATGGATCGGGGTGCGAGGCCGGAGACCGCTTCATGCAGGAGACGTCGGCGGGTGCTGGCGGAGCAGTGGCCGGGCAAAGCCAGCCTAGTGGAGCGGCTAATGGAGTTGGGTTTCGGAGCCATGCAGGGGCGCTTGCTGAAGGAAGCAGTCCGGCGTCTGCCGTACAACATGCTAGAGCTGCAGGAGCGGGGGCACCGCCCTCGGCAGCTCAAGTGCCGCGGCTGGTGCAGCTGCAGCGGGATACGAGCAGGGGCACAGCAGCTACACAGGAGCAGCGGTTGGCAACGGCGGCAGCATCGGAGCCTCAGCGGAGCGACGGCGACATCAGCGACGGCGGTGACACGATGGATGATCCGCCGGAGTTGCGTTACTCTCCAGGGGCCCTGGTGGGTGATGATGATCCTCACCACGATGACGCGCGTCGACAGGGCTGTTGCTCCAACGGGATCACGTTCCCTGCAGCGGACGGGCGCGGCAGGGTTGCTGATCCGGCCGCGCCAGGTGGAGAGCGCTTCCGGCAGCAGCACAGAAACACGCTGACTCACGCCACAGCGCTCAGCGATCCAACGCATCTCAGAGCCCATGCGCCGCGGTTACCTCATGCAGCCGCGGCTGCTGCTGCGGGCGGTAATGCTGGTGGCTGTGGTCGACATGGCAGCTCTTCTGGTCCGGCACCTCTCTCCTTCTCTCTCCCTCACCGTGCAGGCACCCACACCCACCTAGTGTGCGAGGCGATGACCCCCGGCAGCGCCGACGGCAACCACTCCAGCGGCTCTAGGCGCTCGGCTGCTTCCATGGGGCAGCTGCATGGGGCCCTGCAACAGGGACAGGGGCCGTCGCCCCTGTCTGGCAGCCCGATGCCCTGCAGCCCCTCCGCCGGACGTGCTCCCAAGCTGCTCCGGCTGGACGAAGTCCTGGCTGCAGGGCGTTTGGGTCTTGCACAGCGGCTGTTTGGTGGTGAAGGCGCTGGTGGCAGGCCGTCAGGAGGTGGGGGTACCGGTGCAGGAGCAGCTCCCCCGCCGTCAGGGCCGGGGATGATGATGCCGCAGGTGGGAGGTGCCCTGCCTCTGGGGCCGCCGCCCGAGCCGTTTCGCATGGTGCCGTTGGCTCGGCAGCGGTCCTTAGACAGCCCGATGCAGGGTGGCGGCGGTGCAGGAGCATCTGGGATGCTGGCATCACCGCCGCTGCTGCCGTGGAAAGAGTCCCAAGAACTCCGGCAACCGCCGCCGCCGTTGTTGGTGCCGCGGGAATCCGTTGGCACTGCCAACCACCCAGTGCTTCAGGGGCGCGATTCACTTGACCCCAGGATGATGCCTCCGCCACCTCTCTCGCACCACCAGCCGCTCTGGCTGCCTGAGCGCTCATCCGCTGTTCGCTCCTTTCCCATCCCGGCTCAGCTTACAGCAGCAGCGGCGGCATCGCCGCCGCCGCCGTTGCTTCCAGAGCGCTCTTCCGCAGTAAGATCCATTCCCGTTCCTCCACCGGCAACGACAGAAGCAGCAGCAGCAGCGGCGCTGCCGCCTGCTCCGTTGTCGGCGCTTGCAACACACCAGTCGTACACCTCCGGTTTGGAAGCCATGGCAGAAGCTGCGGAAATGATGACCGACGTAGGCGAGCCTGAACCGCACCCGTCTCCTTCACCAACTTCCTCTGCAGAAGCCCATTTGGAAAACCATGCCGACATGGACGCTGCGGAGGATGTTGAAGACGACCGGCTAGCCGGCGGCAATAACTGCGGGTCAGGAATGGAAGCGAATGCTGGCACCAGGCCTGTGTTAGGGGCAGCGGTAGGGGCACCTGGGTTGGGAAGCGCTCTAGCCGCCGCGGCTGCAGTACCAGCGGCTGTGGCTTCGGCTGCATCTACGCGGCTACCAGCGTCAGCGATGGCGATAGCACTGCCTGCAGCTGAGGACGACATGCAGGCTGCCATGCCGCCGCCGCTGCCGCCGCCGTTTCGGTCGCTGGCCCCGACGACGACAGGGCCTGCCGGGCTTCCCATTGTGGTGCATCCGCCGCAAATGGAGCCGGGCGTTTTACGGCGGACAGTTAATGGGCAGGTTGTGGAAACCCCTGTGCAGTTGGTGACGGTACAGGTCACGCTGTCGCCAGCTGCGGTGCAGGCGCTAAGGGCGGTGTCATGTACACGCGCGGGAGATGAGTGATGCGTGGGCGGGTGGCCTGGCGCGTTGGCATGGGGTTTGCTTGCCGCCGCTGCTGTGGGATTGCGTGTGAGGGTTGGTGTGTGGTTTTGCATGCAGGCCGTTTTTGTCCGCTTTCAAGTATGAATGCAGCTCGTTTGTTTCCGGAGAGATGTTGCGTGCGTTGCAGCCCATTGGAATATCGGGTATGCATGGCCTCACGTTGTTAAGACGCACTGAAGTGAAGTGCGTGCACCGGTCATTCGTGTGCAGAAGAGTGACGCGCACGGCTTGGACAAAGCGCTGTCGGTTTCCGTTGCTGTTGAAGCCGAGTTTTAAGCAACAGCTTGATGCATAGGGTACTCCCTCCAGGCAAGCATGGTCGCCTATAGGCAAGAAAGTACGATAGTGGTATGTGGTCTGAAAAGGGTGGGATGCTTGCATTTCCAACTTGCCGTGATAACGTATGTGCAGTAGGCTGCTGCTGGGGGGAGCAGCAGCGATCAAAGCGGTGCCGTACCACCTACCAAGCAATGTGGGGCTTATGGTTGATGTAGGCAAGTCGGTGGGCAAGGCGTGCGCTGCTGGTATTGACACGAAGACTGGGGTGATGGGGTTGATGATGATTTTGCCGGCAGGCTTCCTTGCACAGCTCGTTGTGCCGCCGACCTGCCCATGACGCCCTTGACCTGATTGAGTGTATCGACAAAATGTATTACTCTACCCTACGAACGGGCTACTACACTGCCAGGGGTTTCTGACATGGAAAATAACTTGTGTGATGTCTACCAATAGTTGTTGAGGGATGTTATCGAGCTATTGTTAGGTCCTTGATCGTCACTATCTCGTGACTGTTGCTTACTGCTCCCGGCTCCTGGCCAGCAAGGGAACATGCGCCATGGGTATGTGGTGCCAGTGCTTGAAACGCACGTGATCCTCCTCTGTACTTCCCAGCTGCAATGCTGAACACTCGCTTGCACCTGCCCTGCGTTTCTGGTTTGCTGTAGCACAGTAGTCTTTGAGGACATTGCTTTTGTGAAGAAGGCTGAAAGAAGACCTGAAATAACTATTTTAACGCGCGTTCTCGCACTGGAGGTAGATAAGAGGACGCTGAGGAGCTGTAGTGTTCGCAATTTGGCGTTTGAATCTGGCAAACTAGTGCGCCCTGCTTGGCCACTCTCCCTGCGCTGCTCTTCACCACTGTCCCCGCACTGCTTGTGTCAAGCTGTCAAGGGGTATGGCAGAGGCTGAAGGAAGCTTGGCTGCTCAAATCTGAGGTCACCAGAAACGTCGTGGCGCTCATGTCGTCATGTACGAGGGGAGTTGGTGCTTCCATTTGCTTCGTGGAGTAATGCTGTGGGGTGTTGGATTTGGCGTTGAGCTTCCAGCTACTGGCAGGTGTAGCTCTGGTTCCCCCATGCGTAGTCCTGCATGGGAGTTGGGCTGCACTGCAGATGTCCCGTACTGCGCTGTTGCACTCACCGCGCGCATGTGTGAGGATCTTGTTGCTTAAGTAGGATAGGATTTTATTACTCAGCGGGCGGGCTCTATGTCCATGTAACTCTTATTGGTGGGTGCACAGCTGTTAAAACGAATGTTCTCTTACTTCCTTGGCACCCCAGATGCCTTGGGTCGTATCTCGTAGTATGTAGCCTTGTTCACGTTGACGTGTCTTGTGGTTGAGGCGCAGTTGTTCAAAATAGTTGCCGTTCATTGCTGGTCTTGCCAATGCTACCACGCTCGTAGGGGGAGGAAAACCTATGCCCGTGATTTATGCATGAGGTGGCTCAACATGTGGGTTGCAATTGCCTTGGTGAGCCTGCTGCCATGTAAAGCTGCTTGGCGCATGCCCCATGGCGTATGTTTGGGCGTCAGGATCCCCCTTCACTCTTGAGTGTCGTATGCTGCGTGGAGAACCCCCTCCCCCTTGTAAGCAAGGGCGGCTCCTGAACGGAAAGGGCCACCGGTCCTCAAGAACAACGAACGGGTACCTGCGCATGTCGTGCAAGTTAAGGTGCATTGGCAGGCTGCCTATGTTGCATCTCTTGGCATCTGCGACGAGCCGACGACCGTGTGTGGGCATGCGTGTCCGATTCCCAAAATAGATTGGGGTTACGCTCGGGGTAAAAGACCTGGCGGCTTGCAACGCAGATGGCTCTCGCGAACCAAGCCGGTGGCGGAAGTCACGGGAAATGGAACCGGCCATCGCAAAGGTGAAGTCGCCGCGCTACATAAGGCAGCCGCTAAAGACATTTACCCCGGATTCATGGGCTGGACTCGTAACGGAAGCACGTGGGCATTGCGACGACGGTTGCCTTTACCGGTATCCGTCGTAAGCCCTGCGCATCGATCCCCAACGCAGCTTAGGGCGCCACTTGCAGGAAGCGATGCACATAGCGCACAATGGCAGTTTCAATTACCTATGATCAGGCACTAAGTTGCTGCGCGTCCACAAAGTTCGCGCAGCACCTTTCAGCCCAAAGCCCTTTTGCGGATATTGGCTCTTTATTGACCGCTGCTCGGCGCATTTGGTGGACCCAAACTGGTGTTCCTGGATGGCTGGAGGCCTTGGCTGCTCATCCCAAGATTGGAGACAAGAAGGGCATTGAAGCCAAGCCCGAGGCATTCGCCGGCTTTAGTAGAAATGAGCAGGCGGCAGCTAGCCAGACCCTTAGCAGCGATGTAAGTGCAGAGCTCGTCGAGTGGAACCAGCGGTACCTTGAAACGTTTGGCTTCATCTTCATCATCTTCGCTAAGGGCAAGTCAGCACCGGAGATCCTCGCAACGCTCAAAAAGCGCTATGACCGTCTTCCGCATGAAGAGCTTCACACCGCAGCGCAAGAGCAGATGAAGATCACGGAGCTGCGTCTGACCGGCCTGCTCGGCAATCCCATCGCTCCCGCCGAGCCATCCCCGGCCGCAACCCAGCCCCCTGCTCCTCCCGGCTCCAAACCTCCCACATCGCCCATCACCACCCACGTTCTCGACACCTCTACCGGCCGCCCCGCTCGAGGCCTGCCCCTAGCACTCCACAAACAGGACGAGCAATCCAAGGCCTGGGAAACATTGGGCGAGGGTATCACCAACGATGATGGCCGCGTGGGCACGCTACTGCCCGCTGGCAGCCGGCTCTCCCCCGGCCGCTACCGCATGTGGTTTGACACCGCCACCTACCTGGCCGCATGCAAGGAGGTACACGCCGGCTTTTACTCGGACGTGCCGTTCTATCCCGAGGTGCTTGTGGAGTTTGTGATTTCTGCTGACAAGGCCGGTGAGCACTACCACATTCCGCTGCTGCTGAGTCCGTACGGCTATTCGACCTACCGGGGAAGCTGATGAGGGGGAGAGTGTGTTGATTTGAGGTGGTTGGAAGTTGAATCGTTGCTGGCGGGTAGGTGATGTGACTTCGGGAGGGAGGGTCGCAGGGACGCCTTTCCTTGATGATGGGGTTCCCTTTTTGGCTCGTTTTGGTGCCATACTGGGGTTTAAAATGGCTGGCAGTTCTTGGGTAGGAGGATAAGGGAAGTACCCCTGGTTAGGTGTAGTGTAATGGGCCGTGGGCTGGGCCCACAGTTGTATATGCTTTGCAGGGTTGGCGTTTTCGAGACGTCATACTTGATGCGTGTTTAGGGTCGAAGTGCGTCTTTCTGTCCCGTGGGACGTAGCTTTGTTTTGATCGTGCAACGCTGCTGCTGCTGTCGACTTCTGTATCTCTCTACTGTATTGTAACTTTGCAATTTGTTGTAACCTAACTTTGTAACCTAGTTTGTGGGCGTGGATTTGGGGTGAGGGGAGGGCGCTCCCTGGACTTGCTTATTAGCAGCACGGACAAACACGTTATGGCCGCTTGGCGAGATGTGTGTGATCACGAAGAATTTGCGGTTACTTGCGGCACTCGCTGTACGGCACCGTCACGGCGTGTCGTGCCGGTGCATATAGCAGGATACAATTGCGTTGGCACTCTTGGGTTGGCATGGCGCGCTATGTTGCAGCTGCAGTTGTTTGACCGCTCCTCATATCATGTGCGGAACGGAAGACTTGAAGAGTGTGAGTTACCAGATTACCAAGCGTGTAACACGTTTAAGTTTATTCTCCAGGCGTTGTTCGCCGCGGCATACGAATGCCCATGTTACTGGACAAGCGTTTGCTGCTAATAATGCGCGAGGGAAGAAGCACTGAAAAGAAGGCCACCAAGCAGTGCATTCCTCACCCATCTGCATGCTACATTCACATGACCACAGGTGTCGCCACAAAAGCAAGCATACTCTGCGCGCTGCGGCTAGGCTAGGCTAAAGGCTGTGATATCCTCAAGGGCCATGCAAACACCTGCAATAGGGCCCGACATGCACCTGCGTTTATGACTTCCATGTTGAACCTATCGAACTAAACTAACAACGACTTTTCCAAATTTAACCCTGTCTTCGCCTACTCTCCTAAAGTGCCTATCTAACTAACAACACTTCACCGCATAAGGGCATAACTTCCATCAGCCATTGCTTCACCCTTCTCAAGATCCTATACCCCCCGCCTCCGTACCGCAGCCCATAAATACACAAAGGGCTGCAGTGGCAGATCCATCAAAACTGCACAGCCTGCCCCGACGCCATACCGGTAAGCGCCACCACAGCTGCCAATGCCAGCACCTCACACCGTCAACCTACATGACCTACCGGTATGGACGCGCACACGAGACGCGACGGAGTGCTCAGAGGACACAACAAGGGCAGCAGCTGCAGCTGCTGCAGCAGCGGGAGCGCGTGCCTACTGCTGCGGCTGCGTCTCAACAGCTGCTGCTGCTCCTGTGGCGCATGCTGCTGCGGCTGTTAAAGCTGTATGTGTGCGCGCTGTAATCGTGTGCCCCCGTGGCCCACTGGCCGTTGCCGCTGCTGCTGCAGTGTCAACGCAACTGGGTGGTAGCTGCTGCTGCCGCCGCCTGGCGCGCCACATACTCGGCAACCCGGTTACGGAGGTCGCCTAGGTCCGCATGCAGGTTGCGGCGGGCCTGCTTCCATACCTGCGCATGTGTGTGCAACGTGCGGTACTGAAGGCAAAAGAGATACGGATACGACTCCCACCCAAGCACTTCCTTCTATTAGCATTAGCACGGTGCATCCACACCTCCTAATGCACCGCAGCCCTCCTCACCTTCGCAACCCCGTTCAGCAGCACCATCCCGCCCTCATGCCTCACAGGAACCCATCCCGCCCTCATGCCTCAACCCAACCCGCCCCTTACCTCCAACATGCGCCACTTCGTCGCCCCCAACCGCCACAACGCCAGCACGCAATGGTGCCGCTCCGCAGTCCCCCGCGCCGCCTCCACTGCAGCCCGCTGAGCGTCCGCCTCACGGACCACCTCATTGTACTTTTGGTTCAACCGGTGGTACACCTCAAACTTCGTACGGTACTCCCGTTCGTACGCTTCGTACTGCTCGTACGATTGTACGGCAGCATGGGGTTCGGGCTTCCAGTCCACATATGTACGGTACCAATCTGCGTCCTTGTCTTCCTCCAGCAGGTCGACTTCCGCGTAGGCCTGGATTTCTGGATCCAAGTGATCGGATTCGTAATCAGGTGACGCGGCGCCGCCGGTAGTAGTGACGGTACCGCGGCCCCCGTCTGTGTCCATCTGGCTTTCACTGGCGTTGCCGCCGCCGGGTAACACCTCCGAGTCAGACGCCGTACGAGCAGCGGCAGCGGCGGCGGCGGCGGTGCCTGCCGTACCGCCTCTTCGAGGACTAAGCGAGCCCGTGCTTCCGCCGCCGCCGCCGTTAGCGGCTCCAGCGTTGTTTGTTGCTCCAGGCGGCATGGGCCGCGGTTTCGGAGCGGCAGGAACGCGACCGGGCTGCTGCTGCTGTTGCGATTGTACGCGAGGTTGGGACTGAGGTTGCTGCTGCTGTGGAGGTTGCGAGGCTTGTGGTCGGGATGGCGGTGGCGGTGCTGGTGGTGCTTGTGGCGGCTGTTGCGGGGGTGAGGGTGCGGAGCCCGAGTCGGCCGGCCCCCCGGGCGAGACATGCATGGGCAGCCCTTTCGGTCCGCCGGACGCCACTCGTCTGGCGGCGGCAGCAGGCGCGTTAGGAGCGTTCGCTGCAGCAGCAGCAGCCGTGGCGGCAGCGGCGGCGGCGGCCTTTGCAGCGGCAGCGCGACCGCCATGCAACTGACCCGCGGGTCTGCCGCCGCTGCCTTCCCGCGTCGGCGCTGGTGCCGACTTGGGAAGGGGCTCAGCCAAGTCATCGAAATCATCGTAGCCCTGTAAGCCCCCGCCACCTCGCCTTGCGCTCGCCCCGCCACCACCACCACCACCACCACCACCCAGCGCTTGCCCCTGTCCTTGCCGCATCGTCATTATTTGTTGCTGTCGCGGCTGCTGCTGCTGAGACTGCTGTTGCTGCTGCATTGCGTTATTCCCCGCCTGCTGCGCCCCAACTCCTGATCCCGGTGTCCCTGTCTTCTGCCGTTTCGCGCCTCCGCCGCCCGCCTGCCCCTGCCCCTGCCCGGGTCTGGAAAACCCGCCAGAAGGGCCGTTACGTGCCGTACCGCCCTGGCCACCGCCATCCTCCTCCTCATCCATTGCACCACCACCGCCGCCGCCGCCGCCATCCTCATCCGCACTTCGCGCGCCAGCAAAGCCTGTAGCCGCACCCGGGCTTGCGTCCTGCTGGTCCGGAGAGAGTCTGGGGTCCGGAGAACAGCTCGACATCCGTTTGCTGCCGCCGTAACCGCCGTAGCCTCCGTAGCCCGGAGGGCCGCTGCTGCGCCCGGCGGGGCCTCGGCCCCGGTCGGCGGCTCCACCACCGCTACCGCTGCCGTTACCGCCGTTGATGGCAGGCGCTGTGGTGGTGTACGGACCGCCACCATCTGAGGCAGGACGAGTGCGCCAGAGGAGAGTAGGCGGGTAAGAGTAAGATTGTGTTGAGGGTTTTGCCGCAAGGCCCTGTAAACCCAATACTCAAAGTAAACTAGCGAATGAAATGGCACACAATTGATGGCGGCGCTATAGCTACAGACAAGACACACATGCCCTCACCCGCAGCAGTGCCCGCAGCACCAGTAGGGCTGCCGGCTCCCGACGTCAGCTCGTCTAATCGAGGCCCGTCTCGAGCTAACACGTCGGGTCTGCAGGTTGGGTGGTGGGGGCGGGAATGGGAAGTAGCAAAGGGGCCAGGGGCGGCGCGCAGGAGAAGAGGGGAACTTGAGTGGGGGAGTTGGACCAGCAACAAGAAGTGCTACCCGTCCCAATACCGGTAAGGAACTGCTGACTGACCCACGAAGTCAGTACCCAAAGTGGAGAAGGCGAACAAGCATTACCAGCCGAGACGCACCCTTCACAGGCGCACCCACCCCACCCCGCCCCCCGATCTCACTTCAAGTGCATGCGGTTGGCCGCCATTGTACAGCAGTTGTCGATCACCCTCTTCACATACTCGCGCGCTTCCGGCTTGACGGCCGCGGCGCGGTAAGCGGCGTCGATGCGGCTCTGCAGGCTGGACCCCGTGAGCGGCTGGTCCCGCAGCAGAGCCGCAACCACCAGCGGCAGGTCCCCGCGGCGGGCCGCAAGCACCGCGGCACGGGGAAGCTCCGCTGGAGGTGACGCAGCGGCGCCGCCGCCACTGCCGCCGCCACCAGTGCCGCCTACGGCGGCGCCGGCGGTAGCGCCGACCGGCGAACTGCCGCCGCCACTGCCGCTGCCGCCAGCGCTGCTGCCACCGGCAGGCCGCCCGTCCTGCGGCGCGCCGCCGCCGCTACCGCCGCCGCCGCCAGCGGCGGTGGCGGCAGCATCCGGCGGAGGCGGCGTTGGTGTTTTTCTCGTCCGACCCGGCTGTGGTCTGGGTGCACCGCCGCCGGGCTGCTGCGATCTGGGTCGAGGCAGCTCCAGGGGCTTCCGAGGCGGCGGTAGCGCTAGCGCCGCCGCCGCGTCGGAGCCGGGTCGAGGCCCAGTGGGCGCTGACCCAGGGGTCGGTCGCATTGACCCGCCCACCAAGGGAGCCATGCCGCCGTTGTTGCTGAGGCGACCCGAGGGCCCGGCAGGCGGCTGGAGTAGCGAGGGCTGCGAGGAGGGGGCGGGAGGCTGCGGCGGGGGAGCGGCGCGCGTGACCACCTCGGTAGTGGTGGTGACGCGGGGTTGCATGCCTGCATGGGTGGGTGAGGTGGGTGAGGTGGGGGGAAGTGAGGGAGTAGGACAGTGAGGGTGAAAGGGCATCCTGCACACCCCAGCAACCCAGCTTCAGCGTTCACGCTGCCCATGTTCGCAACGATAGACCCACATCCTGCGACCTCGGAACCCCGACCCCCCTACGGGCCCTACCTCCTCCCCGCTGGCCGCCGCTCAGTAGCACCGCGCCGCGCTTCCGCCGCCCCTCCGCGTCATTGCTATGCAACCCGCCCGCCAGGCTCCCAGCCATCAGCCCACGAGGCCGCGAGTCGGGCTCATGGGAGCGCTGGACGGTGGAGGAGAGATTTGCACGGCAGAGGAGAGCGTTTGTACCGCAGAGGAGAGAGCAGCGGCAATGGGACTGAAACGACAACGCAGATAGGTCACATAGGTATGTTTCTCTTCCCCACCCACATGCCTCCTTCCTCCACTGCCCGGGTACTCCCCCCACCTGCAGGTTGAGTCGGTGCCTGACCCCCGCCACGCTCGCCGCCTCTCCCTCCCGCTGTGCCAGCCGCAGCACCTCCACCGGACCCGCCTGGGGGGCGCAGCTGAGGACGTACTCCTGGCCGGAGATGGACAACACAGCCTGGAGGGGGAGGGGGCAGAGGGGCAGGGGAGCAGGGGGAGCAGGAGGGCAGGGGAATGGAGGACATGGAGGGTGTATTGACTTTGGGGTGGAAGAGTAGGGGATGAGGAGGAAGGAAGGTGGGATGAGAGGGGGAGGGGGAAGAACAGGGGCATGCGAAAGACGGCCGGACGAAGTACAGGGTGGGGTGGAGAGTTGGCGGTGTGGGTGGGAAGGGTGGGAGTACAGGTATGGGTGGAAGCGGGGGGCGAAGTTGGTCCATAACGCATTGCTGGTGGAGTGGATTACGGGTGGTGTGGTACGGATGGGCGGGTGGAGGGAAGCAGCGTCGGGTGGTGGGAAGGTGTGTGGACGGGTGGGTAATTATGTCTCACAAGGAAAGGCAATGTGTGGGTTAGGCGCCTAGGGCGAGAGGTTATGGAGCCACCTTGATCCGAAGGAGCTGCGGTACGTTCGCGGTATCGAGGAAAGCATGGAGGATGACCCAGTTTCGTTACCAACTTTGACGAGGCAAAGAAACAAAGGTGGACCGTATGCGACAACCTGAGTTGCTGCAACACCTAGGACCGCGGCCTCGATCGTGTGTGATGCGCTGCAGAAGAAATAGCGTACCTCCCGATGCGGCTCTTCGCGGAATCGCAGGGAAACAGCTTCGCCATTAGCCCGTGCATTTAGCAGCGCCTGCTTGATCTCTGGGGTAAGGCGAAGCTGAGCTGCATAGCCCAACGGGTGGGAGCTCTGGAAGCAGTATGGCCGGGAGTCCATGGCTACCCGACAAACACGCCGGTTGCCGACGCCTTCCGTTTAGAACATCCCCTTGACGTGTTATGCCTGTTTTGTTCAGGCAGCACGACCTTCAGAAGTTTGGGCTGACGAAACCCTCACAAGAAGCTAGCTGAGCTGGAGTGTCGAGTTGCAGAGTAGCCTAGGAGAGTCGCCGTTCCGTTTTGTCTGAGTAAGCGTTCAGGGTTACCCTTATCATAATAAACAATTTATAGAGGATACCTTGTCGCAAGGGCGAACTTCACTAAAGTTACGGTATCAGTTCAGGCGTTTGCACCGTGCAATATGTGTTTCAAGTGATCTGTGAATATAACAGCTAAAGAACTCCCTTCATTGTTGCATCCTTAAGCTAGCGACCTTGCGACGGTACCATGTTCCCGACCATCGGCTCGCCCATCATCCACTCAACCAAAGCACCCTACCCGGCAGTTACATCTACTGCATACACAAATAAAGTCGATAATTCTTGACATGTTCAACATGACGTCTTCTCTTCTTTTATCGCTCACCCCATAGGCTGTCACTTCTGACCATGACGCTTGTCAGCACTTGAAGGCCTGGATAAGGCATTTGGCTAGAGATCATTTCAGCTTCTCCAGGGATCTACAATTGCACCATGACTTTGGGCTTCCAGTTATTGCGGGAAGCTCCCGCCCTTGTTCGCCGTTGAACCTTCATAGTAAGACACCGCAATACTGCTAATTTTAGCATGTAGAGACATGTTTAGGTATCCCTAGTTCCTTGCGAGTATCTCGTTGATCACGACCAACGCGAGTGCGTCCCATCGACTTCTACTCCTTTACAGCTGTCGCACCTTCATCACTCTCTCACGGTTACTTCTTACACGCTTCATCAGGAGACAAGTTCTCGGTGTTCCTGTAGCGTGAGGCATCTGGCAGCTGCAGCTCTTGGAGCATCCATTGCGCTGCACGGACAGCACCCGGAGTGGTCCATCATGTCTCGGAAGGACATTGAGGAGCTCCTTAAGCAGTTCAGGGATGCCGGAAAGGTGCGGGCACGGGCATTTCGTGTTGGGGCTGACGACAGTTAACAATAGCCCCTGGGAAACGTTGGCGCGAAGGGGCTTCAACGCCATGAGTCTGGCCTGAAAGACCGCGGTGCGAGGCCGGTAAACGGGGTATGAGCAGGATGAAGGGTCTGCCCTGGATGTCTAAGCCCTTTAGGCATGATGGCTACAATGCCGCATGCAGAGTCCAGCGGGGTAGTGTGGCGCAGAGTCAGAGCGACTTTACTATTTCAGCTAGAACCTGGGAGGACCCAAGCTGTTATGGGAAGGTGGCAGCTCACATGCCATGGCACGCTGTGTGTTAAGCAGGGGTTTGCAGGTGGGCGTTACGTGGAATGACCCAAATGAGCTGAGAAAGCTACATGGTAACATGCCATGTTTTGTGGCGGCATAGGGTAGCAAGCGCTGTAGCTACTAGCTGTCTTTGGCAAGGCGCACGTGCCATGCCGCAACCAGCTTGCAAGCGACCCCACCTTACCCGCATTACCAATACTGCTACCCACGGCTGAAGTGCCGTACACCGTTATGTCGTACCTGAACCCCGCTCTTGTATGCGTGTTGTACGGCACACAGGAGGGCGGCGAGCGAGTGGCTCTGGACCGGCGGCTGTATGCTCAGGCGCTTGATGGGTTGGAGCGGCTGGAGCAGGTGAGGTGGTTGGTTGGTTAGTCGGTTAGTCGGTTAGTTGTTAGGGTATGCCGAGCTAAAAAGGGGTAGGGTTGTTGTTGTGTGTTTGTGTTCCTGGTGAGCAAGTGTGCGTCCCCTTTCTCTTCTTGGGGCATAGGCCTTAACAGGAGGCTCAAGTGGCGCCCAAGCGGCTTCCCACAAGCTACCCCCTTGTTACCCACCCGCACACCCATGCACATGCCACAACCATGCTCTCCCTCCCTCCCGCTGCACTGCAGGCCCTGGACAACCGGCCCTCGCTGATCAAGAAGCTCAACGAGAAGATCATCAAGGTGGGATGGGTGCAGGCAGGAGAGGGTGGGAAAGTGGAAGAAGGATGAGAGGGTGGCACGGGGAGATGGACGCGGGGTTGAAGAGGGGCTGGGGCAGACGCGGCAGAGGGAGGAGCAAGCTGTCGTGGCTGAAAGCAGGTGAACCTTGTACAGATACCCAGGCCCGTTGCCTATCCGCTCTGCCCCACGCCCCTCTCTCCTGGTTGCTCCAACCTGGCCTTCTTCGCGTGATCTCCCTCCCTCCCTCCCTCCCTGCCCGCCCTCACCCCCCAACCCACTGGCAGCTGGAGTGTGAGCTGGAGATCCTGCGCAACGAGACCCGCGTGAACGAGCTGGAGAAGAAGGTGCAGGTGCGAACAGCCCGATGGGTGGGAGCAGCCTGGGTGGGAGCAGCCTTGTGCAGTTGTTCAGGAGGCGCCCCCAGAGATACAGCGCTATCATCGCTGATAGAACCCTTTTCCTCGCGGGAATCCCGTTGTGGCTGCTGTTGCCCAAAACTCCTCCTAGTCCGCCCCGCCCACCTTCCAACTACCACAACCCTCCCACGTCACGACCCATGGGTCACCAGCTCACCACCACCCCCTCACCTCATCTCACCTCTCACAGCGCTTGGAGGCGGAGTTGCAGCGCTCGTACGCCACAAAGAACTTCACGCTCAAGAACGGGCTGCTGGAGATCGAGAAGGCATACCGGGACTTCATCAGCGGCTCGCCGGCCGTGCAGAGCCTGTGGGACGAGATCACACTGCTGCTGGTGCGTGCGTGTGCATGTGCGTGCGTGCGTGCGTGTTAAGAAACCTGGCTGCAAGTGTTATTGGGGGCAGTGCACTGGTGTGTGCGCTGCTGCTGCTGTGGACCTGAAATGCCCGGGATTGCTCCTCCCGGATTGCTCCCGGATTCACACCACCGTCTCCGACCTAACCAACCCCAACCGCAACCCCAAACCCCGACCCCCTGCAGGTGGAGGATAAGGAGTCGCTGCCGCAGCACATCCTGGCGCGGCGGCAGCTGCACGCGCCCCGCCTCACCGAGTCCACGGCGGGGGATGCGGCCAGCGACGCGGCGCTGCCCCTGCCGCAAGGTAGTTCCGGTGTGCGTGCGGGGGGGGGGCGTGCGTGCATGCATGCATGCTTGCTTGGTGGTATTGGGTACTGTCGGAGGAAGCGTGTAGGCGTACGCTCTGCAACCGGATGAACCCTGACACCTGAACACCTGAACATCTTAAACCCCCCCGCCGCAGGCTCCCCGCAGACGCCTTCCTCAGCGGGCCAGGGAGGTGACCCACGGGACACCTCCCTGGGCGGGGACCTCACCCCCAATGTGTCGTACGTGCAGCAGCAGGTCGACAAATTCAGGGTAGGTGTGCGGCAAAGAGGGGTCCGTTTAGCTTTCGGAGCGGGTAGAGCGAGTTGTTGTAAGAAAGAGGGGCAGCCTAGTCATTATCAATGTAGGATACACCCTCTTGTCGTCACCCATTCCCTGCAAGACACACCCACTTATGATGCTGCCCCCTGACCTTACCTTTTACCTCCGCTCCACCTCCACCCAACAGGACTATACCTTCACCCCAGGTCACGGAGACCCGCACGACCCCTCCCACGGAACCCCCACCACCACCACCCAGCACCTGCCGTACTACCACCCCCACAGCACCTCGCGTGCCGGAGGCGCAGCAGCAGCAGCCGATGCGCGACGCGGCGAGGCGGGCGCGGCTGAGGGCGAGCGACCCATGGGTCAGGACGCCGTCAACCTGGCGGCGCTGCGGGAGCAGTACGACGACGGGAGACCTATCGTACCACCACCCGCGGGGATGCTGACGGCGGCGACGTCGCCGCTACGTCCGGTGTCATTATTCGGTGCTGGCAGCGAAGGTGAGTGCGGATGTGGGCCGGATGATGTATGGAAGAACGTAAAACGTAAAAAAAACAGCAAGCTTTGTGCCCCTTTACCGTATGCTATCCCAGCTTTCCTCCCATCGCACCTTTACGCGCCCATTCCGTCATCCTTGCCCGCTACCCTTACCCTGCTACCCTACCCCCGCGCAGCCAAGCTCTCTGAATCCTCCGCCGCCGAGGCCTCCTTCCAGCCTTCCACCTCCGCCGCTGCCGCTGACCCCGACGCCGCCGCGCTGGAGTCCTGCCGACAGGAGATCACCGCCTCCCTGCAGCACCTGAGGGCCCTATTCGGACAATACGACTGGGCCCCCACGGCCCTACCCGGACAGCACCCGCAGCACCCGCACCCGCACAACCAACAACTCCATCCACTGCCGACGGACAGTACGGCAGGGGATGCGGCGGCAAGGGATGCGGCTGCTTCTTCACCTGCTCCAGGAGGGGGGGTAGCTGGAGTGGGTGTGGGTGCGGGTGCGCGGTCTCCGGATGCGGGCGCCTACCGCAGCATGGCAGCCTCATTGGAGGTATCCGTGGAGCGGCTGAGGCAGTACTTCTCCAAAATGCGCTGGGCCCCCTCAGGCTCCAACGGCGGCGGTGGCGGCGGCAGTGGTCGACCAGGCCAGAGCCCAGCCCCCAGCGGCGGCGGCGGCGGCCTTCCCCCGGACGCGCGGTATTTCGACTCCCAGGCGGAGGCCATCCTGGCGTCCGTACAGCGGCTGAGATCGCAGTTCCAAGACGCCGCCGACGCAGCGGCGGTGGCGGCGGCGCCGTCCGCATCCAGTGGCGGCGGCGGCGGGGATGCTGAGGGCGACAAGGCCGCTGCTCAAATACCCGATGCGCGCTACTTTGAGACGCAGGCCGATGCCATCACCGCGTCATTGGACGAGCTGGTGCGATTGTACGAACGCTCGTACGGCAGCGGTAGCGGCGGCGACATGTTTCTGGCGTCAGGGCTGCGTCAGGGCGCATGGCCTGCAAGCGGCGGCGCTGCCGCTGGGGGGACCAATGCAGCTGGTGTTGCCAGGGTTCCTGATGCCCGATCGGGTGATGGTGCGGGTGCGGAGGGCGGTGCAGCTGCTCCGTCGGTAGCACCCCTGGTGGAGCTCTTCTCCTCCTTCCTGGCGCACCTGCAGGCCACCACCACCGCCGCCAGCACCGGCGGGGTTCAGGGGCTCCTGGGCAGCGGCGGGGCGCATCCGGGTGACACGTCAGCGGGGTTGGCTGAGGCTAGCGGCGGTGGTAGAGAACATGCAGCGGAGCAGCAGCAATATGATGAGCTGGTTAGGCGCTTTGCGCAGTACGCGCGAACATGGTCTGCGTCTGGGCACTCGTTACCGTTACGCCATGCAGGCAGCGGCGTCACAGCGGCGACGGATACGACTGGCGGGATACAACCTGATGCCGCCGCGGCAGCGCCGGCGCCGCCGCTGGTTCGATTCCACTTGTCGGTCAACGTCGCGAACGATGGCGACGACGCCGGTGACGGCGTCTCCACACGGCTCTCTCCGGAGCCCACAATGGAGCACGGAACACCTCAACCCTCATCCGATGCCGGCCTGTCCTTCTCCACCTTCCAGCAGCCGGCCTCTCAGCAGCACCTGCCGCCGCCGCCAACACCCTCCGCCTTCGCCGCCGCCTTCTCAACCGCCGCAGACGCCGCAGCAGCGAATCACCAGCACCTGCCCACCACCACCTCGGCATCCTCCGCACTTGCACTCACACCTCCGCAATCCAGCACTGCTACCTCCTCTGCCCCACCCTCCGTACCCTCCATACCTTCCCTCCCCTCCTCCTCCACGCCCATCGAGGTCCTCATTAGCTCCCTTGAAGCCCGTCACGGACGCCGGCTGGCTGCCAGCCCAGATGCCGTGGCGGTATGGCGGGACATGCTCAGGCTGCTGGGGTTGGATCCGGACGCTCGGCCGCTGCCGCCGCCGGGATGTACGGCAACGTCTCCGGGACCGGAGGCAGCTGAACCGTCGCCGGAGAGCCGATCTGCGTCGCGAGCGGGGTCGAGGAGGAGCACTGCGACACGGAGAAGTCGCCGCGGAGGTGGTGATGGTGGTGGTGGTATGGAGAAGGCGGGGGCAGAGGGTGATGAAAGTGCCGCCGGCACTCCCGCTATGATGACGCCCGTGGCGTCCACGTCGCAGCTGACGTCAGCCCCCAACGGTGGCGGCACTGCTACCGCTGCTGCTGCTACGGCTGCTGGCGAAGAAGCGGATGGAGGGCGGTACGAGGGCGCGCCGCATGCGACGGCGAGTGCGGTTGTAAGCGGTGTTGAGGAGGATGCGGCGGAGGCGAGCAGCAGGGAGAAGGTTGACGTCGTGCATGCAAGGGAGCCGGGGGAGGCCTCCGCCGCCGTTGCTCCGTCGCCGGTACCGGAGGAGGTCGGAAGCCAAGCAACAACAACAACATCAGGGAGTGGTCGTCAAGGGTCGCATGCCGCAGCATCCCCATCGCCGTCCTCATCGGCAATGGAAGCAGCGGCGGCTGCTGACGCCGCCAGGTACGGCGAAGAGGGCTCCGAGGAGCATGCGGCGGATCGAGGCCAGGGGCCCGCGTCATTGACTTCAGCGGCAGCGGAGGCAGCAACAGCGGCGGAGGCAGCAACAGCGACGGAGGTAACTCATGACGACGGCGCCGTCGGGGCCTCTGGGAGTGCTGCAGCTGCGGAGCAGGGGACGCGGGGGGAGCAGTCGCCCGGTCCCTCCGGTCGCGATGCGGAAGGGGGGCCTCACTTGCCCCCCGGAGGCAACGGCACCGCCCGCGAGGGGAGTGAGGGCGCGAGCGTTAGCGGCGAGAGCTTTGACTCCGCGGCAGAGGTGGGCTCGTCTGAGGCGGGCGATACGGCGACCGATGAGGAGGGGGAGGAGGACGCAGCGAAAGCGACAGCAGCAGCAGCCAACGGCAATGACGGTGGGCCCGGCTTGGTTGCTGGTGGGGTGCGCTTCCAAGTCACTCTTGCGGAGATATCACCCGCCGGGGCAATGGGCTCGCCGTCGCCCTCTCCGCAACGTGCCGCCGTACAACAGGATCCGCAGCAGCAGCAGCAGGGGGCGGTGCAGGCACCTCCCGAGGCGGCTCAGCTGCATCAGGTGTGGGGTGCGGAAAGGGTGTTGGGATATGGCTAGGGGCTAGGGGTCCATGCGGCTTGAGACCACCACCCTGAGACTGTACAAAGAGAAACTCCTCTGCTTATTTCCAAGGGTACCGCATGCAGTGTACTACTGGTGTGTGCCGCATGTGTCTTACCTGCCCCACCATTCCCCGTACCATGCGCACACACCTACCCTCCCTATTGATAGAACACCTCCCGCAATACCTCGCTACCTCCCTGCCTCACCCTCCCTGCCTCCCTGCCCAGGTTCGCTCCGAGCTGGCCTCCACGCAGGAGCTGGTGCTACACCTCAACCGGCAACTCAAGCGGGCGCTGGAGGGGCGGGAAGACATGGCAGCGAGGTGGGGTAGGGGAGGATTTGGGCGTTCCGAAACCCTGTGTCGGTTCCTGTGCTGGTCGCTTTCTGGTGTGTTGCACTGTACCTTCTGTGTTACACCCCCGCACTAGCAACGCTTGCCTCAGTCCTTCGAAAGAAACTAGTGCTAACCATCCCCCTCTCCTCCGGGATGCTCGCTGTAGTAATGTATGCGTGCTCGAATGACCGCCTGCAGGGCTGAGCGGCTAGGCAGCGAGCTGGCTGCCGTACAGGCCTCCGCCGAGGCCTCCCGGCTGGAGGGCAACATCCTGCTGCGGGAGCTGGTGGACGCCAAGGTGCAGCTGGCGGAGGTGCAGAGTGAGTGGCGGTGGTGGGGGGGAGGGGGAGGAAAGGGAGGGAGAGGGCGGTGGTGGGGTGGTACATCCAGTTGCGTTCATGCATGCTGGGGTGCAAGCGGGAAGGTAAATGCATTGTGCAGACAAGCGAGAGGCGTGCATGCCCCTTCCATGGCTTCCTGTTGATAGTACAACAAGTGCTTGCTGTATCCCATCCCATCCCGGCGTTTTTGCCGTACTGTCCCTGTACCGCACCGCGCAGTGGAGTACATGCAAGTGTACGGTGCCCTCAAGCGGGCGCTGGGCAACGAGAAGGACATGATGTCCCGCATCGACGAACTGGAGCGCGTGTTGGCGGTGGTCAGCCCTGGCGATGTGTCGTGCGACGAGGAGTACGGAAGCACTGTCGGCAAGCTGTCGTCGGGAGGCCTGGCGGAGGCAGTTGCGGCGGCGGAGGCTATACCTGGGTCGCCGGCAGCTGGGTCCGGGCGGCAGGGGTCTGGGTTCTGGCATGGGAGGGGGCTACTGGGGCAGGGACAGGGTGGTCATGAGGGCAGCAGCAGTGCAGGTGGGGGCAGCGGCGACGCTGCCGGGGATGCAGCAGGGAGGTCGGGGAGAGGGGCACCTGCGGCTGCTGCAGGAAGCGGCGCGGGAGCGAGGGGCGGGGCGGTTGGGGGAGGATCGCGGAAGCCCCGGGGATCTGTTGACGGGGGCGCCGGGTCGGCTGGGGGCTTCCGATGAGGCGGTGACCTTTGCGTTGCTTTGTGACCTTGTGACGGGCAGGGGGTTGCTGAAGACGTGGAGAAGGTTACTTGTGTTGCTGGTTGCCTGCAGTTGCGGGTTGGCACGCTTGGGGGGTGGGAGGAGGACGAACGAATGTAATGTACGTGAGCCTGCAGTGTGCATCTCCGATTAACCGGATGAGGCTTTGCATCAAATGCTATATTGCTATAGCATGCACCTTAAAGCACATCAAGACAGCCGGTTTCTCCGCTTTCATTGACAATTCCCACCAGTCCTGGCCAGCTCCAACGCAATATGAACCTCAACGCGGTCGTGCGTGCGCGTGCGTCTCAGGCTGAAACCGTCCAACAGTTTCAGTTGGCCCGCCGTTTCGTTGGCGCGAAGCATTGAACCGAAGCAACCTATTGTACCTTAACAGCACAAGAAGTGAAAGCGCACGAGAAAGGGCACCTAAGATTGCTAAACCTGTACGGCGGAGGTTAACTTCACAGATAGCACAGAGAATCTCAGACCTAAAGCTTCTTCCTTCAGTAGTCAAGTAGCTTAATTATACCCAAAACATCATGGTCTCCTGGACAAGTGCTTCTCGCGGAAAACGCGTTGCTAAGGGTGTAATTCTATGCATTGTTTTCGCCCTTGCGGACATTGTTAACGAGGCACGCGCTGATTGCCCAGATGCTCACTGGGATTGCCTGCTTGCCCTAACACCAGAAGACGACTCGGCTGTCGTACCCTCCGGCGGAAGCGTAACCTACGGCATGTGTTGGAGCTGGAGGACGCGGAAGTGCTCCCCGTGCGATGAGCGCGATTATAGCGATGCAACGTACATCCTAGATAAATGCAATGCCCAAGTCCTGGAGTGCCTTTCGGGGCAGTGCCGCTTCTACGCGGACCTCGCAGCCTGCTGCAATGGTGCTGGCCGCTGCGGTAACCTGAATGACCCGGCTCGGAGGCAGAGTGCATGCGGTGTGGCGACAGGTGTACTAGTTAAGGGGTCTGGAGGTGTACGAGAAGATGAGTTAGCGCCGTACTTGGAAACCGAGTAGCATTTCCTAAAACCCTAAAGGTAGCATTTTGGGTTCGGATGAAATGCACGCATGCACGGAATCGCCAGCTTCCCGGTTTTGCATAGATGATTAGTTAGGGGTAGGGACCGACGTCTTGCAAGCATGAGCCTACAGCAGGCCGCCCATATGCGCGATCTCAGTTGTTGCATATGGTCTGCGTGCGTCTTGAGATGTAGCGCGTGTTGCATACAGTAGGGTCAACTAACGGCTACTTGGAGAGCGCTCGGTGGACGCTTAGGGAGTATACTACCGCGGTGTGAACCAGGCGCATCAGGGTTGCAAGTGTCGTGTCATGACCCTGTTACATGGACATATCTGGTCCGTTATGACCTTTATAGCAATACACGTATGGTCTCAATATACACACCAGCCTCGTATTGGCATGTGGTTGCACATGCTTGGGAACAGCTCAAGCCATCCAGCCTGTACAAGGGAGGACACGCTAAGCAATTGCTTTAGCCCTCCACCGCTCGTTTTCTCCTTATGTATACGCTTACACGCATCGACAGGGACTAGAGCGCCCAGCCTCAAACACACAGCATTCATCCCAGAGCGACGCTAGGGCGACAGGCACCGTGGAGGCGGTACTGTGCCCCCAAAACCCCTACAATGTCACGCTATCGACAGCCCCCTGCAAAACGGCACAACCTAACAAGCCTAACATCCGATACTACACCTTTCGCGGATACCTTCAAAAACGTACGTAAATTCCCACTTAAAACCTGGCCTTCACTCGGGCTTTGGCGCCTGCGGTCCCCGGCCGCGCACCTGCTTGGTGCGCAGGTAAGGGCTAATGCGCATGCCCAACACGTTAGCTCGCCGCCGCACCTCGTCCTCGCCAAGCTTGACCGGGATACGCTGGGGGCCGCCGTGGCTGAGCAGGCGCCCGCGGCGGCCGACTCGTCCCATAGGCTCCGACGGGACAGGGCTGCTGTCATCGTCATCGTCCGGAGCCCCGGTGCTCGCTGCGCCCCCGGATGCGACAGGCATAGCGGCGCTCGACGGAGCTGCAAGGCTGCTTGCTTCAGACGCTGAGGACGATGCTGCAGGGATGCGAGAGCGGAAGGACGTCTTTCGGGCAGGACCCTGCTGCTGAGAGTCCCCACTTAACGTCTGGGAGGCAGGCGGCCGAGGCAGCGACGGGACACCCGATCGGCGGCCTACAGAGGCCTCGGGCTCCTGGGGGCCATGGCGAGGGGAAGAGGAACCGGATCGGTTAATCACGGTAGCAAAGGTCTACACATGGTAAGCCTGTCATGGCGGAAGGTTGCTAAGGAATGAAGTATCAAACCCCCCATTTACCTGTTTTGCCGCATTGTCGAAGAGCTTCTGCAAGCCTGGCGTCGTCTGGACGTCACGGGTTACAACCGCGGGCTTCGACGGCCCCGCCTGCTGTACCGGTGTAGGGCCAGTCTGTGTCGCTACGCCTGTGGGCTTTGCAGGCTGCGCCAGGACTGGTACGCCTGCCACCATGACTGACTGTGACCACTCGCATGGCACGCCCCAAGCAGCGGGGTATGCGGGCCATAGACCGAGCCGCTGGCTGAGCGGCACGTGATCTGCAGGCACGCCAGCGGGGTGAAGGACTGCAGCGGCTGCCGAGGCTAAGGTGTTGTTCACGCTGGCAGCTATCAGCTGTTGCACAGGTGGTGCCTGCTCGGACAACAGCAAGCGTGCGCGGGCGCTGGCGGATGCATCCGCAGCGTCAACAGCCTTCACCGGCACACCCGCCGCTCCTGCTGCTGCGGGCGCGGCGGCTTGGTGGACAGCGGCGCCTGCGGCTCCCGAGGTGGCGGCCGCCTTGGGCAGCAGAGAGACCTCATTGGGCTGGGCAACCGCAGCTGGCTGGGACGCCGCCGCACCCGTGGGGGTGGATGGGTCGCAACGAGGCGGCGCCCAGCCCTTGCGGCCGGGGCTGACCATAGCCGACGCCAAGGACCGCGGGGTGCATGCACCTGTGCTGTTGCCCTTCAGGCGCGGAGTCGTTGCACCGGTGACCGACGCTGGAGGCACGTACGGATGCCCTGGAGAGCCCTGCAAACAGCAATGGATAAGTTAGCAGTGCTGGAACGTCCGGTAAGAACCCCCAAAGCATATAAACATTCCGTGAAGTTTGACGTAGCTTCTCACCTGGAAATCTAGCAAGAGGTCAGCGCTGGCGCTAATGCGCCGGTTCAGAACCTCCAACGTCACCCTCTCGGTGATTGCGCCCTTCAGGCCGGAAGGGCTTGGCGCCCAGAAGTGGCCAGCGGCCGCGACGTGCTCAGAAGCTGGCAGGGCGACGCTCTTGCTCGTGCTTGCCAGGTCAGCGGTCCGCGGCGTCGGGGGAATCGTGCCAGATATGTAGGAGAAGGGCGTGTTGCTCGAAGCCGGCTGCACCCCATCGAAAATGCTGGGGTGCGCGGACGGGGCCGGTGATGACTCCGGGGTTGACGGCCCGGCTTTGGCGGCCGCTGCCTCGGCACCCCCAGACTCTGCAGCGACTGGCCTGGACGGGGTGCTTTCAGCGTCGGCATCCGTGGTCACGAGGGCCTCAGTTGCATCCAAGCACGGCGTCGCCTGTACGGCAGACGCCACCTCTGAACCGGCTGTGACCACTGTGTCATCTGAGCCTGCTGACGCCTCCGATGCCTTTGGCAGCGCATCGATCAGCGGCTCAGCATCCGTGGCCGTGGCTGATGCCACATCTGGCCTGTCCATGCCATCCGAACCCACAACAGCTGCTCCCTGCGTTGACGTGGCCTCGGGCAGCGCTGACGTAACATCCGCCGTAACCGCAGACATGCACTCCACATCACCACGAGCATCACTTGTCAAAAAGAGCAGCCGCTCAACAGCATCAGCAGAGAAGCCAATGCTGTTGTCAACCAGCAGCGATGATTCCTGTCCGGCGCCCTGGCCCGCGCCTTGAGTAGCGGCTTCAGAGCGCGCCGGAGACACTGTCGTAGCTGACAGCTGCTGTGCTCCACCAGCCGCAGTGACGCCAGTTAAATCAGCAACTTGAGACGAGCAGCAGCCATGCGCGCTCTCTACAGCAGCACCGAAGCTCAGCACTGGAGAGGTGTGCATGGATGAGCTGGTGACAGCGTGCGCCATCATGCTGTTGCTGCTGACTGCCGTTCGCAGTAAGCGGGAAGGCGTAACGATGGGGTCGGTCGTGCAGCCGACCTGGATGTCGGCTTGCGAAGCTGCCATGCCCACCATGTTGCTGCCGGTCACAGACTCAACCACCAAGGTATCGGACGGCTGGCTGGCAGGCACCGCACGGCTACAGCCGCCTGCAGCCGACGACACTGAAACCAGTGCGTGACGAGTGGGCGTGAAGAGGCGGTCTCCTGCAGGAGAGTCAGGGCTCCCGGGGTGGACGGCAGACAGCGCCACAGGTGCAGCCACGACAGGTGCGAGCTTCGCCGCAGCTTGCTGATGGCATGCAAGCGGCGTGACGTTCTCACCCATAGAGCTGCAGGTCTTTACCGCGCTGCCGTCGGCTAGGACGGGAGCCGCCTTCTCAGCTGATGCCTGAACCGACATGCACAGACCCCGCGCAATCAACTCGGGCAAGTCCTCGTACGGTGGGGGCGGGATGGTGTCTGGCAAGCTGACAGCTGTACCCGCGGCGCCTGCGTTAGCAGCTGCTCCATTGCCAGTCAGCGACGACTGCGCTGCAGTGTCTGTCTTAGTCGCTGGGATCTCGGACATGTCCACGACAGCTGAAGACCTGGCGGTATCAGGAGGGTTCGAGGCCACGCGGATGACGGAGGAGGCTGGCTCCGCATTGAATGAGAACGTGTCCTCACGGGGCACCCGTGTCTCTGCTGACGGTGCACCCAGAATGCAGGCCTCCGGAAGCGCCTCAAATGAAGGCGCGGCCTTGACCTGTGACGCTGATTGCTGCTGTGAAGGCGGGGACTGCTCCATGCGGCGACTCCTGGTAATGGCTGGCATTGGCGACAGCAGGTTGCCGAGGAGATTGGCCCAGAATGATGCAGGTTCCGGAACGCCGGCCATTGCTGCTGCCGCCGCTTCTGCGTGGGAGATTTCCGGGCAGCCCCCTGCCACGTTGCCGGCGCCTGCCATGCGAGGGCGCTGCACAACACCAGGAGTGTCTTCTGGACTGCCCTCGGCAGCCATGCCAAAAAGAGTTGGCGACATCGCGACGAGCTCATCCCATGCCGACCCGCCAACGCCAGCACCTTCCGCCCGCTTCGCCCCGGTGGGCGTTCCAAAAGCGGCAGCGCCGGCGTTACCGCCCACAGGAAACCAGCACGGTGTTCCCATCGCGCTCGGGCACGTGTTGCCAAACGTAAAGCCCAGCTGCGATGCCGTTGGGCTTGCACCTGGAGCCGTGCATGAAGGTCCCACACCAAAGTTCCAGAACCCAAGAGATGGCGCTGGGCTAGTGCCAGAAGGCGTGGCCTGGCTGCCGATCCCTGCGCCGTCCTCGATGCCCTGGTGCACTGCCTCCATCCTCTCCTCGATCCTGGCGGGCGACGTCGCCAGGTGGAACAAGTTCTGGTGGCTACCGGAGCGGCCAAAGCTGAACGGCGACATATGGTTGGGATGCCCACCTCCAACCGTCGGCGTGAAGTCCCCAGAAAGGTTGGCTTGAAGCCCGAAGCTGAAGCTTAGCGGTGATGGAGGATTACTGGCGCTACGCGCGTGACGGGCAGTGCTGCGCAGGTCGCTATCGATCCGGAAAGATGGCGGCGCCTCGTGGGCCCAACGCAAGAAGCTGAGACCTCCCTCACCAGGCGTCGACGAGGGTGTCATACGGGCAGCCATCTGCTTCGCAGCTGTGCTGAAGCCAAAACTCGCCGCCTCGGAGTTTGCAGGCGAGTCGTGGGCCCCTGCTGCTGCTACTGGGCTATCGACACCAGAGTGCAGGTCAGCTAACGCAGCAGCACCGACAGTGTGAAGCGCAGTTGGCTGGTTGCGTGCGGCCCCACCCTGGGGCATTGGCGAGCGCAGGTGCGCCAGCAGCTGCGCAAAGCTGATGACGGCAGCTGCTGCGACAGCGTCACGATGAGCTGCAGCAGCAGCATCCTCTTCAGGCGCCGGCATGGTGTCGTCACCAACGGCCTCCGCCTCGGTCTGGGAGTCCTCCCCACTGTCCACAGCGCGAGAAGCATGGGCCGCGACACCAGGGGTAGGAGCATGTCGACCCGCTGCGTTCAGGAACGCCAGGAGAGATGAGAAGTTGCGCGCAGGAGATGGCGCATGTGCCACTGGTGCCGTTACATTGCTAGTCGGCTGTCCGCCGGCGGCGACCAAGCCCTTCTGCGCATGCGGTTGCTGCACGTCAACCGTGACCGGTGCAGCAGTTGATGGGTTGGGAGGAGCCACGCGGCGGCCCTGAGGCTGCATAGCAGCTGGCAAAGGCGAGTGCAGCTGCGCCAGGAACTGCGCCATGTTGAAGCCGGAGGCCGTCGTCGCAGTCGAGGGCTGTGCGCTGTTGTTTGCCTCGGGTTGCCCTCCTTGAACCGCCGGTGAGCCGGAAGCGCTGTCCGAAGCGTGAACCACTGGGCTCATGGCCGCAATGACCTCGCCCGCGAGCCTGTCGAGCACGCGCAGCTGCACGGGAGTCAGTTGCATGACGGGCAGTGGAGAACCGAATGCCGCCAAGCCAGCAACACGCTGGTGGGGTCCCAGTCGCGGTGTTGCCGCCTCGGCATCAGCAACATTACCGGCTGCAAATCCAAATCCAAATGCAGGCGTGGGCGCCTCGGAGCGCATGCCAGCAGCCACAAACTGCTGGCGACCGAAGCCAAATGAGAACTCCGACGGAGTAGGTGCGCCAGGGGTCAGCTCACGAGCAATCGAGTTCGGCACACTTCCGTACATCTGCAGCGCAGTCAGGCGCGCCGCACTGTAGATGGAGGCTAAAGACGTAGGCGTTGCAAAGGCCTCCAGTGGTGTAGCGAAGATAGTGGACGTAGGCGATGCCTGCCTGTTGACCGTGGGTGTGCTTGGATAGCTGTTCCCGTGTGAGCCAGATGAGCGCGACCCTGAGTCCGGCCCAGTCTTGGCAGCGCTGTTGCCGGCGGGAACCGCATCTCTAGCTTGGGCGGCCATCGCGGAGACGGACGGGCTAGACTCGGCGGAACCATGGTCACTGGCGGGTGCAGTAATGAAGCCCTCGTCCCGCTGTTATAGGATAGCAGAGGGGCACGGGTTATAGAGTTAGGGGTTGGCACACTTATCGTTGTGAACGTCAAAGCAATGAGGTAATCGGGTACCCGCAGTTGCTTACTGGCTCTGAAGCATGCTCCTCGGAATCAGCAGTCACCGGCGATGGCGGTAGCACGGGCTGGTGCTCTCCCGCTGGCAAGAGTTTACTGGTGGTCGAGCTGCTAACCTCACCCTCCGTTGCCTGGTCCGGACCGGCGTCCTGTGGAATACATAAGGAGGAACAGAGAGCAATAGGAGTGCGGCATGGCCAAGCTGGCTTGAGTTTCTCTGCCTCTGGGTCCTACACCTCTGCCCCCGAGCATGTGCTGCATGTGGCGTACGCAGTCTGACAAGACTCACCTGGTCCGGGTCGGCTTGTGCGCTCCTTGCCGACTTTGGCGTCGCCAGGTAATCGACCTCCTCTACGCTTGGTCCAGGATGTGAGTCGACGAACACGAACGCATGTGCTACGGTCGAGTCGCCGACCCCTGGGTCGGCAGCCTGCTGGACAGCATTTCGAAGTAGCATGTCAGGAGCAGCCGTACAACGACACGCTTAACAGCGTCACAAAGCCCAATCCTAACCCCTCCTGTATGTGGTAATGCACAGAGTGGGCTACAGCGCTTAGCGCTGCATTGCCAACAGCCTACCTGTGCCACAGCTGTCTGGGTCTCGAGCACAGCATATTCGGGTGCTGGTGCCGCCAAATCACCGCTGCACACAGCCACCCGTCCGGTTTCCTCTGCGACGTCTTGGCCGGCGGCGCCGACGCCGTCGATCGCCGCTGCCCGCAGATCGCCAAGCTGCGAGGAGTGAGGAAAACTGCTTTGTAACGTATGAACAGAGCCGCTGAACTCATGTTCCCCACTGGCATTATGTATGCAGCTATTGTGTCTCATACCCTAATAACCACGACACACCCAAGTGCTTACCTGGTCTCCAACGCACGTTTCCGGTTCCGTACTCTCCGGCGTCACCAAGTCGTCAAGCTCCGCCGCCGGCGAGTGGCTCTCCCCTTGGACGTCCAGGTTAGGCACCTGCACGTCACCGGTTGGCTGCACAGCCGCCACGCTGCTGGTGAGCTCGCCACGAGGGCTGAAGCCCGCAACCAAGGAGGTCTGTGGGCTGCCGTCAGCTGCGAAGTCGCTTGCATCAAACGAGAACGGAGTCGCTGTGGCGATGGCCGCATCGCCCGCTGCCCCAACTGGACTGCCCAAGGCGCCCAGGTCCACAGGCTGGGCGCCGTCAGCCAACTCCATCACGTTAGCCGAGCCGAGGGCGTCCTGGATGGCGAGCGCGATGGGCGTGGCGGCACCGGGGCTGGTCTCATGCGTGTCCGCTACGGCGAAGCCAAGGATAAGGTCCCCCAGCTTGTCCACCTCGGTACCGTCAGCTTCCATGCCATCAGTGGCGACTGCCGAGGAGGATTCCCCCTGGCCATCGCCACTGGGCTCTGGGAAGCGTTGAATGCTACCGGAGTTAGCTTCCGGTGAGGTCGCGACGGCGGGCATGGATACGTCAGCGGGCCCCGGCGAAGCCACGGTGGAAGGTTCACGGGTATCGAAGGCTACAAGCCTCTCGCTTAGGTCCACAGCAGACGCTCGCATGTCAGCACCAGAGGCAGGAGAATCGCACAGCGGGGGCCTGGCCTCTTCCACGACATCATGAACCGCTCCCGCAGGTGTGAAAACACCCTCTCCAACGTCGGGTGTGGGCGCAATGCCTGGGTAGTCGCTGCGGATCGTCATCGGCGTTGACGCAAGGCTGCAGAAATCAGCCAAGCGGTTTTGGATTGGCGTCTCGGCAGGGCCTGGAAGAATCAGGCGCTCTGGCAGGGCACCCGACATGCAGGACGCGGGTGAATCTGACTCGAACAAAGGGTTGCAGCGCAGCTGGCCAGCGCACGCCCGCGGGCTGACCGGTACTGCTTGCAGCGGTGTAGAAAGGTTGCTAGGTGGTTCAGTGCTGCCCAGCACGTCATGGCTCGAAGGGGTGGCCGCAGATGCAGGCTGCATAGAGCCTACGAAGGGCGCTGGGCTTACGTGATCCTTCCCGGAACTCCCTTCCTGCTGAATACTATCCCACGTACCAAAAGATACTGGATGCTGCGGTTGGGATACAACACTTAGGCCCGGCGACAGTCGCGGTGAATATCCGACGCTTCCGATTTCGCCGGGAGTGCCCGTTTCCCCCGTCGGACAGGCGCCGCCATCTGCTTGCGCCGTACCCCAGGCCTTGAATGCGAAGGGCAGCGATGATCCGGAAACTGCGCTTGCGTCTACGGACGGCTGCGGAGAAGAGGCGTCCATGGCTCCCAGCGACGGCGGTGGGCTCCACATTGCACCGAGCGAGCGCGCAATGGAGTCACAGGGGCTTGCTGGGCCGAATGGTCCCAGGCCGGCGATAGGGTCCGAGGATGCTGGCGCAGCACAGGGGGCAACGCCAATGGAGCCGCTGGCGCTGGCGGGTGTCAGGCCAAAGATGTCATCGGACACGCCAAATGCCATTGCCGGACTTTCGCCGCAAGCAGCAAGATCCATGAAGCTGCTGGACGGCCAGGGTTGCGACTGGGACACGCTCGTCTGCGGCTCCCAATTGGCAGCGCCTGGATGCTGGTTCGCCGAGATGGCAGCGTAGTTAGGCGACGTTGCATCGAGCCTGTTGACGTCGCTTGCCGGCGTGAAGACGCCATGGAGGCCGCCATCTTGACATACGCTGGTAACGGATGCGCTAGTCAATGGCTGCTCGCAGGTTAGCAGCGAGCTCGGCTCCTGCGGCTGCATCAATCCTGGACTAGCAATGCCACCCATCGGCACCGTACTTTCAATAAGCTGGCTGGTCTCACGTACGCCAGAAGCCGACGCGGCGAGGCCTGATGAAGCCATGTTGGCGTTGTCACGCGGCGACAGGTCCAGGGCCCAGTCTCCTGAGAGCCTCCGGGCACCGACAATCATCGCTGGGCTGTCCGCCAAGGGCATGGATGCCACCTTGAGCTGCGCCAGGCGCTCCCTTGCCTCCTGCAGCTCCCTCTGGAGGCGAGTCTTGGCCCGCTGCAGATCCTCGTTCTCCGCAAGCTGCATTACGAATCACAGGAAGGGTAGGCGTTAGGAACTTCCAGCTCCAGCATTTAGCGCGAGGAGCCCACCAATTCGAACCCTAACCGCATGTGCAATATGAATGCTATCAGGGGACATGCATATCACCATATGCTGTAGCGTTTTCTGCTGCGTACGCGTCCTACATAATGATGCACAACTCACCAGCAGACCTACATGGCGAGCCCGCTCGTCTGCTTCCTGTTGCGCGAGCTGCAGCTCGGACTCCTTAAGCTGCTCAATCAGTGCCTCCTGCTGCACGGTTTTCTGCCACAGGACCCGCAGAGCAGCCTCGGGTAGGGGAGAGTTGTCGATGCCCATGGACGCCAGCCATGCCCGGAAGGACGTCGTTTCCCCGCCTGCACTCATGGGGAGAATGCGTTAGAAAACGTAATCATCGGCGGTAGTGCAGCTTAAACAGTGCATGACCCACTTGCGGCGTCAGGAGCGGCGCGTTGCGCTGCACCCTCCAGCGCCAGCACCATGCTTGTGCACTCCGGCGGGGTGTTGCTCGGCGCTGGCTTGGAAGTGCAAGAGGCAGATGGCGTTGGCCCCTCGGACACATCGTACGGCAAACCCGCAGAGATGTGAGTAGGCGGGCTGCCAACAGGGGCGCACGCGACCTGCAACGGACCGGGGGGCAAGTCACGAACGGGGTATGCATGGATAGCCATGACACTGACCCCAGACACTGAAGCAGCGCTCTACAATAGATGTACCGGTTCTACCTACCCATTTGAGGCAACATGTGCACCTACCCCATGTTGCAGAACTTCTTGGTCGTCGACGTCACCAGAGGGTGAGGCGGTAGCCACCGCTCCAAACTCTGCTGGCGTGTTAACGGAGTGGTCCCAGCTTTCCGGAAATGCGTTACCGCTATCGTGCAAAGGGCTTGCTGACATGTTTCCACGGCGTGTCGTAACAAATGGACACAACGACGCCGCCGCTATCTCTGAGCTGGTGACAGCATCCATGTCTCCGCCGGCTGACTGCGGTAGCTCCGGCAGAGAGCTAGCTACCGCTCCGACGCTCAAGGAACTCTGCAACGTTGCTCCGGCTGATAGCGCACCTGCGACGGGAAAGGAAACCGTAAGCGTGCGGTTTAGGCTTTTTGCTTATGACAACATACCTACCCGAGTTAGCGCCAACTTCGCCCAGTTGAAGATGAGCCGACCTGCGCTGGAAAATCGGCGCCGAGAGTTTGGATTGGACATGCTGAAACTTTTTGGGAAGCGCCGTCCTATTCTCCTTGTTCTCTTGCTGTCGGGTTTTCGTCTTCCATGCAGGCGATGCCTGCGCAAAAGGGACTCCCAGTTTTGGTTGTGCCAATACAAGCGTTTAAGGGCAACAACGACACTCACCCGGGTGGAGGTGTTCCACGTCTTTGGTTTGTTGTTCTTCTTGTCCAAGTTCAACAACTGCTGCTTAGAGGCAGCCGCAACGGCGGCCGTGACAAGACCCAAGCCCTCATCGAGGCTCATATGTCCCCTGGCCCCTAGAGCCGACGACGCCAGGGAGCTTAGGTCAAGATTACCACGGTTTGATTTCATGGCTGCAGTCTCACTGTATTAATCAACGGATGCGAGCAAGGTAAGGGCCCACATATCACATAAAGTAAGTCTCCATAGGATGTAAAAGGGCTATTGGTGTTCTTCTACTGTTCTATAGCTATAGGTTTAGCAGGGCGCCCGGGGCCAGAATAGATGGCGTGGAGAAAGATGTCTTTGTCTAGTTTAAATTGGGCCTGGAACCAGTTCTGGAGCCAGTCAGTTGTTCATGCTTCACGGCAATGCCCACGATATCTATTGAACGGTGTTTATTGTAATATTTAAAGGATAGAAACGCAACAATATGGGCAGGGGTTGAACAAGGTGCCCCCAAGACCCCAACATTCCGACAATGCGAAGCTTTTTAATGCAACAAGTACGGGTTGGTGCAAACTGCATCTTTTGTAACTTAACAATAGTCAAAACTTCGTTATCCGCACGCATGGTTCGAGGAGGGGTCCCGACGGGTCGTTGTTCGAAGGCTAGGCCAACTCAACACTACCGGGCTCAAGCAGACGCATGATCGATGGAGTCAGAGTACTGAAAGGTAGCAACACCAACCAGTGCCTCGGCGTGCCCTGAAGGGCGTCAAGATCGGCTGCCATAGCTATTCCTCACCACCTTCCACGCATGCACACATTGCAAACACTAGGACATGCGAAACATGCCTCTTTCAATGCTCCTGACTTGTTATATCAGTGGGCAAACCTACTATTGAACACGTGCGGGAAACAAAGCTGCTAATGGTTGCAAAACCCGTGGTCCACGCGTGCGGTGAGGCCGCACCCGGCATTCCGGCTGGGACAAGCGAGGTTATGGAGACTGGGAGAGCTTCAGAGACCTACAACTGTCTGAGGGGCATGAGTCATGGCAGGCGAAGCAGACAGTTGAGGGTGTACTTGTGAAAGAAGGGTAAGTTTAGGATTACATAAAACTTCCAAGGCGTTTGCTTCCATGTAGCTGGTTACGGACGTGGCAAGCAAGCCCGGTGGCATTAAGTTGCAGGCCACCATAACGTACAGACATACACCACATACCCTTATCCTGGGTTGACGTGTTGTAATGGTTATGAGATTGTAAGACCTTGACCCCCCCCTTCCAGTTGCTTCACTTTTCGTTTGTTTCCTCCCCTTTCCAGTACGACCCGTCAGTGTCAGTTGACACACCAGCAGCTGCTCGGTATGCTGCCTTACTAGGCCAGGCCGGGCATAGGAGGTGGGCGTAAGGTGGAAGCAACATCTGCTCGGTATGCTGCCACGGCCAAACAGGTTTCCCGACTCGTGGGTTGGAACGCTTGCCTGTGCTTGCTTGCAATGCCTGAGCTTGGACTTTGGGATGTCGCATGTGTGTGTTGGCTTAATGTGGGGAATCGGGGTATGGCCTCGTGGGGCATGTGGGCCTTCCCGTGGTCATACACGCGGAAGGAATGCAAGCCTTCATCGGCTGGCGGCCGTTGTAGAAGGGGTACGTGACGCTGCGACGGGAGGAGCCATACATGTTTCTTTGTAGGGTCAGCACGTAGGCGGAACACTATACACGTAAGGGAAGATGCCTTCCATGGCGATGGGCAAAGTAAGAGTAGCTAGGTGGGATTGGAGACAACTATAGGGATGGGGAGTCTGACTTTGCATAATACGCAGAAAAGAGGAATGGTGGGCGCGGAGGTGATTGTGTAGAACTGCGGAGGCGCACGAGCTAGACAATCGTCGAATGCACGACAAACCGTTACGCGCATCAGAGGCCGCCCAGGAACTCCTCTGTTCGCAAGCACATAACCCACACATACTTAGGAAATTTGGGGAGCAATGCACGCTTCTGCGTTCCCTACGAAGGGCGTCCGAAGGCCACTCTCTCAGAGAGGAACGCAATGCCTGCCGATAGACAACCATTGAACGTAGCAAAATAGTTGCTATTATAAGGAACACACTATTTATCCTGGTATTGGGGTTGCCGACGGTGGAGGGACATGTTGCCTGGCCTCAGACCACTTACGGCTTTCGAGGTCTTTTTGCAGAGGTACTAGCACCGTTATATATACATCTACCGTTCCTTCATCACATCTACGATGCTCCCGAAGTATTGACATGTCGGCATGGTTCACTCTTCGCGCAGGCGACAGCAGGATGCCACTGAAGCGCATGAAGAGCTTACACCACAAAGCAGTCGCGTCAACAAGGTAGGTTGACTTCAAGGGCGCATGACTACAGCGCGAAGAGACGCAGTTGGCTACCACGTTCATCACTTGCGCACCCATTTTACAAAGGACGCCACCCAAGCGCCGCTATCGTTAGATGCTCTTCCTTGTAACAAAGTGCACTCGCACCGTGCAGGCGCCTAGGCCTGTCGCGGCGGCACAGGCTGACACACCTCCAACTCAGCAGCGGCGCACACTCACTCGTGGCGAGCAGCCATCTGCGCAGCCTTGGGGGCCTCCGCACAGCGCTCCCCACGGCGGCGCCCCGGAGCGACCCCCCCAGCTGCATCCCCTGCATCCCTCAGGCTCACTCCCAAACAGCGCACGAGCACAGGAAACCCCGCGCGCAAAATCAGGGCTAACACCCCAAGTCGTCGCAGCACTCCCAGGCGGTAGGAAGGCCTCTGACGGCGACCTCCCCGCTGCCGCCAAGCCCACAACCGCCGGCACAACCGCCGTGTACGGCGAACTCGCCACCGCGGCGGCGTCGCTAGCCTCCGCCGCCCACAAACTTGCACGCGGCTCAGCCGCCGACCGCTCCGTCGCCGCATCATACGAGACCCTAGCGCAGGCTGCCGCCGACCTAGCCACGTCAGCATGGCTCATCCGCCCCCTGACTAGCAACCTCGGCGGCTCGGGACCCAAGCCCACGACCCCCTCTCCCTGGCATGCCCCGCAACAGCCCCTGCCCACGTCGCTACCTCGAGCCGTGGATCCCATGGCATCCGCCGCCGCCGCAGCAGGCGGCGGCGGCAGCAGCACCAGCGGTGGCGGCGGAGCCGCCACCGCCGGCCTGGCCTTCGCCAGCGGCGGTGCCGCCTCCGCTGGGGCGAGCCCCTCCGGGCGCCCCTTCCCGGGCGCCTCTCCTGGCCGCGGGCGGGTGCATGCCCCCCGCTTCCCCGGCTACAACCCGCTGATCCACCTAATGGAGAGCGAGCTGCCGCTGCCGGGCAGCTCGGGGAGCGCCATGCGGCCGCCCGCCTCCAGCCCCATTACTCATCAGTAAGGGACGGGAGGGGGGGGGGTAAAAGAGGGAAAGGGATGGGGCAACGGGCGGGTAGCATGGGAAGGGTGTGTATACCATGGCGAGGGATGTATACGCGCCCAATGCCCTCATGCGGTCTGCAGCAATACCTGTCAAAGCGCTTCTACCCGCCACTCCGCAGGCTCCAAGACAGCCGGACACTCCGCTCCTCAGCCGGCGGTGAAAGCGTTGTCGCAGGCAGCCCTGCCTCCCCGCCCCTCCGCAGCGCTCGAGGTCCGGGCCCGGGGCTGGGCCAGCGTCAGCGCCTGCCGCCGCCCTCGGACCCGCGCTGGGCGGCAGGGCCCACCTTCTCCTCCGGCGGCACGCCGCCGCCGCCCGGGCTGCTGCTGCCTTCGCCGTATGACCTGTCTCGGCTGCCGGTGCTGAGCCTGAGTGCGGATGCGGCGGCTCAGCGGTTCAGCGCGGGTGCTGCGGGGGGCGATGTGTGGAGCAGCCAGCAGCTGATGCTGGAGGAGACGGAGCGGGCGAGGGGAGGAGGAGGAGGTGGAGGAGGGAGGCTGGGCGGGCGGCTGGCTGATGAGCAGGTGAGGCGAGGCGGTAGGGGGGGGAGGGTCGTGGCGGCGGGGTTGGGGTTGGGAAGCTTGGGATTGTGGTGGACTGGAGAAGTGGTAAGAGGAAGACGGCGGCGGAAAAGGCTGGGCGTAAGCGAGGGAGGAGGGATCAGGCTAGTAAGGTTACGGAGGAAGGGGGAGAATGCTAGTAGTACGGTAGCGGGAAACACCTGTTCGGCGATCTGGCCCTTACGCCTCCCCCTACCAAGGCTGGCAAGTCCAAAACACCTACAGCGCCCTACACCTACAGCCCTTGTGCCCCCTCCCCTCGTTCCCACTCCCCTGTGCCCCTCCCTACCCCTCAGCCGGAGTCCACCTCCCTGCTGCCTCCCAACGCCGACTCCCGCACCGCGGAGTGGGTGCAGCAGGCCGCAGCAGCCGCCGCGGCAGCCGCCGCCAGCACCGAGCCGGGCATCACGCCGTACGACATGGACCAAGATGAAGTAGACATGCGGTACAACAAGGTACGGTACGCTACGTAGGCTACTCTTCTTCTACAGCAAGGATGCCGCGCTGCCCCTGCTCCTGCTGCTGCTGCTCTCGGCCGGACTGCGTAAGACCGCCCACCCCCTTTCCTTGCTCCTGCCCTCACCTCCCCGCCTCCCTCCCCCCTCCTTCATCAGGTGTTGGAGGCCCTGCGTCAGCGCATGTACGCCCGCGGTCCCGGCCGCCTGGCCGCCGCCTTCCGCGACCTGGACTCGGATGGAAGCGGGTTGCTCAGCCGGCGGGACTTCCTCACCGTCTTGCAGGGGCTGAACCTGGGGGCGCCGGGACTGCTGGATGAGAAGGTGCGAGGGTGCGAGGCGGGAGGGGGGCTGGGGGCGTACTGGGGGCTATAGACCCCTGGGGGCTATCTGGCGCCATCAGCCTGCACCTCCCATGCGCCCTGCTCCCCGCAGAGGCCTCAACCTGGTTTTAAAACTTCCTTCTTTTTCCTCATCCTAACCTCCTCAGGTGGTGGACCTCATGCTCTCCAACGTGGCTGCAGCCACCTCCAGCCCCCGACCCAACATGAACAACAACAACAACACCACTACCAACACCAACACCGGCAACGGCGCTTCCCAACATCCCTTCTACCTCAACAACAACAACACCAACAGCAAGCACCACCACCAACCACAAAGCATCAACCAACCTAACCCACCTAACGAACTCCAACAGCAACAAAACCAACATCCGCTACAGCCGCCCCAACGCGTGCCGTACAGTGACTTCGTAAACGCGCTCCGGTTCGGCTCGCTTCCCTGGCGCGGCTACAACCCCCGGCTGCGGCACAGGGTGGGGGCGGACCCGGACCAGCCCTTCGGACCGCCCTCGGCACTGGCGGGGTGAGCAGCGGGGCGGGGGTGGGGCTAGCGGGGATGGGGCTTGCACGGTGCCGAGGTGCTTGGAAAGGGTGGTTGGTTGGTAGGGTGGGTTGCTAGAAGCGTGGCAAGGGGAGCAGGATGGGTGGGTAAACGGACAGGAGGAGAGCAAGCGGGACTGTCTGGACGAGCACGCAACCCCCGAACGACCTCATGGCTCAAACCTCGTGGCAAATGGTATATTCCTCCTCCTGCTCCTCATTTCCCCGTGTTCGCCCGTTCCGCAGTCCACTGCCCTACGGTACTGTGTACGGTGCGGACGGTGCCGCAGCTGCTGCTGCTGCTGCTGCTGCTGCTAGCGCCGTTGGCGGTGGTGGCGGTGGTGGAATTAACGGCGGGAGCGCTCCGGGCGCTGCTGGCGGCGTCCCCTCGCTGCCGACCGGCTCCAAGCCGCCCGCTGACCTGTCCCGTGGGTCGTTTCGGCAAGCGGACCGAGGTGCCGAGGGAGGCCTGGTGGGTTGGGGTTACAGGGGGAAGAGGTAGCGGGTAGGCCCCTAGGAAGCAGCGGCAGGTGCGGGTGCGGTTGCCGGTGAGCAGGGACGGATGAGGAAGAAGGGAAACCTGGAGGGAGGCCTTGACGGCTGTCAGGTTGTGTTTGTAGGCGGAGCATACAACGTGGAAAGAATGTACGTACCGACGTGTTCCCTTATGTCCTTCGTATGGCTTACATCGCGTCCTCAACGTGCCCCCTCTTCGCTCCCCCGCCCGCAACCCGACTCCACCCCCTCAGTGCAGACCCTTCAGGCTGTCGACCCCCTCGTTCGGAACAGCGCTGACCATCAGGCCAACCTAGCCCCTGCCTCGCACGGCGGCGGTAACGACATCAGCAACACCGTTACCGCAACCACCGCACCAGCAACGGTCAACGGCACCAACCCAAACGGCAGCAGCCCTCCTCGCGGCCTTCGCGGCCCCACACTCCCCGACTTCCAACCACAGCCCAAGCTGGAAGTCAACAACGCTGGCGGTCTTCAGGTAGCTACTACCGGTAGCCGCCCATGGCCAACGGCAAGCTGGGATGCCACCATGTCCTCGTCCTACTATTACGGCAACGGAGGCGCTGGCGGCGGCGGCGGCAGTAACAGCAACAGTGGTGGCAACAGTATCAACGGCAATGCCGGCGTCCACGGCAGCAGCAGCAGCAGCAGCTGGCGACCGGCACAACAACAGCAGCAGCAGCAGCATCTCTTGCCGCCGCCGCAACCAGCGGGAGCCGTCCTGTCAGCATCGTCGCGCGGGGTTCCTCGGCAGCACCCTTTCCCTCTTCACCACCAGCAGCAGCATCCCCAGCAGCACCAGCAGCACCCTGCTCCCCCTGGCGGCCAGCAGCAAACGCCACACCCTCAACCACAACAACAACAGCAACTACAACAACAGCGGCAGCCGGGTTGGGTGGAGGAGCTGCAGCCTTGGGGGCACGCGGAGGGATCCAACTCCAGCTATCCAGCCGTCGGAGGGGGAGCAGCAGCAGGAGGCCTGCATGGTAGTTCTGCAGGACCCCAGGGTGGAGACTGGGGCAGCAGCAGTACGGCAGGAGGAGCAGGAGGGGCAGCGGGAGCTGCGGCAGCCAGTTGGCAGGGAGCTAGCACGTGGGCTTGGGTGCCGGCGGCCAGGGTAGAGCCGCTGAGTGGGACGCATGCGGGGGCGGCGGCGGTGCTGCACAGGCTGAGCGGGGCTCCGGGGACTCCGTTGGTAGGGGGCGGCAGGGCGAGCAGGGTGTGAGGGTGCGCGGCCGGCGACGGTTGGCGTGCTGTGCTGTGCCGGGGGAAGGGTAGGGGCGTTTGGGCGGGGAATTTGGTACCCGGGGGTACCGTACTTGGGAGCGGCGTTGTGTTTAGAGGACTGGCCGCGAGTAGGAGCGTTGTGTGTGTGTTAAAATAACTGGCCGCGAGGCGAAACGTACTGTGTGTGTGTGTGTGTCTCAAGTAGCGCGTCGTGTGGCAGGCATGGGGAGCTGGCTGGCTGTGGGGGTTGGGGGTTCGTTATCGTATGCATGGGAGGCAGGGAGGTGGCTGCGGGTGGGCTTCTCCCGAGGTGTTGGTACGGTGCAAATGGGGCTGGACTTTGCGTTGCATTGGATGTTGGCAGGGTGTTGGAGGGATGAGCGGGGCGTGGCGACGCAACCTGCGGCGTGTGGCATGTGGCGTGTGTTGTACTACGCAGGATGGCCGCTGCTTTCTTTTTCTTTTTGGCATGTTGGCCGGCAGAGGATCCTTGGTCTCCTTTGCATTCGGCTTACGGAGGGATACCAGACGAACGCGCCCTCCGTAGGAGCTACTGTACCGTGCTATGTGGTGCTACTGCTGTTGAAAGTTTGGACGATGCGACATGTCTTTGTGTGGGTCTTTGCCCCTGTTGACGCGGCTGGTTGACGCTCCTTCGCATGCATCGCAACCCAAGTCTTTCAGCCTGCCTGTGGTGGCGGGCTGTGAGGTCTCATGCCGGCGCACCGGTAGTGTACGGCCCCCCCCCTGATGTCGCAAGGGTGCCGGTATTCATGGGGCGGATCTTGGAATGGTGGCGCCTGCTTGTCCTTGGGCTGCTTGCAAATCAGTCTCTCCATCTTCATCTCTGTCGGTTTATGTGAAGCTGGCGTAATTAACGGTGATTTCGGAACGTACAGGAACGACCGGACCAGACGTCGGCAAACACGGAATTTCGGCTTCGGGAAGGTCCTATTTCGGTATGCCCTCTAAGCGCTCTTAAAAACACGCTTTTGGGCGGCGCGCCTATTCCTTGACTGCCCAATCCATGTACTTGTCCTATTTTCCTTGAATGGGGGTTCGGGGGCGAAGCCCCCGGAGAAAATTTTGGAATTTAAGGGCTTAGGGAACAGAAATTGAAACCCTTTTTGCAGTAATTGTGTGTCCGCAGTGCTTCGGTGGGGGTCAAAATGGTCTCTGGGGCTTGTAAGGGGCTGCCCGCCTGAGCACGAGGGCCTACTTCTGTCGCATGGGTAGCTTCGGATACCGAATTTCTGTTTCGGGAACTTCGGTACGACCCGAACTCTCCGAAGCGTTTGCCGATGTCTGGACCGGACGGTAGTAAGGCAGGCGGGTTGGCATCCTAAGTTTAGGGAGGACATTCATTTGTCGTACAATTCTTTAGCTGGCTGTGTAGATGCCCTGTGGGCGGCCGCTTTGCAAGCCAACGGCGACTTCGGATGGTGGGGACGGTACCGGGAACATTTATGTGTTTTGTGCTTTTGTCTGGAGAAGGGGCATACTTGTGTGGCCAAAAGTGTGTTATGGAGAGACGCGGAACCCGTATTAGGTTGCTTGACATGCCCTGGGTGTGAAGGGAACCCTAAACGACAGGCGCCAGGTCCTGGGAAATCTGCTAACCCTTTCCTGCGGTGTGGGACGCCTGGCATTGCCTGCGGCCCAGGAGGCTGTGGGTAGGTTGTTGGTATTGTAGAGGGCGGAGAAGCTACAATGTACCGCTACATGCCGAATGCAGGGCTGGCTGTTTTGCAAGCATTGCTGTGACCGTTGCCTGGTGGTGCAGTTCTGCTTTGATAATACTCTACTGCGGACTTTTCAGTGATGCTGCTTGAACTCGGCGGGGCAGGGTGTGTGCGTGCATGAATGCAAAGTAAGCATAGTAGCTCTATTACATGCCAGGCATGGGGAAGGGCGAGTGTGCACACGGTGCTGGACGCCGCAAAGCGCATAATGTTGTTTGAAGAAAGGAACTTGCTGTGTCGATGGTGCAATTGAAACATGCCATGTCTTGACAGCGTTTGTATCGTGCTGTCGACATCTCTAATTGGGCTAAACATTAGTTGGTTCCAAATAATGTAACCCAACGCGCATCGAGATACGCATCAATAGTCGCATCCTCTTTTTAGTTGAGCCTCAACTTAAGTTGAGATTTGGGACCGCCGACCGGTCGGCACCCATATGACCCATTTTGCGATAGCGATGGAAGACAAGGTATTCTGTGGGACCCCAAAATGTGTTAAATGTAGTTTATGGTTTGTTACCGTATACGTCAATAAACGTTTGGGAAGTTTGGGCGTCGGCAAACCGCTTTCTAGTGTCCAAGTGAACTAAGACATGCCAGCTCGCTTTATGTCACCAGTTATGATTCGGGGATATACCTCTACGTTTTGGGATAAAGGTATAGCTACGCTGTCGCAGGTGTTGTTGCGGCTTGTAGCCGATCGGGGGCCTTATGTTCGGTAGTCGCTACGGCAAGGTAGCTCATCCGCACAAGTTACCAGCCAAACGCTTCATCAACAACTTATAACCAAGTGCTGTGAGGCTCTTCAGTTCATCAGCTCAAGGAAGGTAGTCCTGAGTCACATAACTACACCACATCGTTGTTACTCCGACGTCGACAGCAAACCCCAGAACCTGCAATACTTAAGCTTCGACACTGTTGTAAAATCAAGAAGCCTTACGCACTTACAATTACGAACGGAACAGCTAGGATGGCCGAGGAGCGTCTACTAGCGGTGTCGCCGAACCTGCCTGCCGGAATGGAAAGGCCTAAATGGAGCTTGCGTGATTACCACGTCCTTCAGACTCTTTACAATGGCTATGCAGCTCAAGTGTACACGGTGAGTGTGGTTGTGTCACCGATTGTCTTCGCTACGGGCTCCGGCGGGTGGCAGGAAGGAGGTACCTGCACTAAGTTCAATAAGTATGCAAAAATACCTTGCTACTTGTTGCGTTACTGCACCATTTTGCGACATTTCGCTACGCAGTTTTGGTTCTCGGCAGTTGTCGGGGCGTCATGGGAAGTGGCGTTTTTTATGCAAGCCCGCATTCAAACCCAAAACCCAACCCTCAGGCTACATGCAAGTACACTGGATTGGAAGTGGTACTCAAGGTTTACAGTGATGTCGACAAGGCCCCCGATGTCGCACAGCACGAAATGTATCGCGAGGTTGCCATCCAGAGCGGCCTACAACACAACAATATCGTTCACCTTTTTGCTGCTTTCGAGGTAAGCAGGTTCTTTCTCACCAGCGAAGCAATGCAACGTCTTTTGCTTGAGTTTCCCGAGCCGCCCAGTTTACATTGCCCAACCGCTTTTGCGCGCTTTCGATAAAACGCTCCTTTCCCATGCCACGTAACTCCTTTATATCACAGGAGGGCAGCACGCTGGTCCTGGTCCAAGAGTACGCTCCCAGCGGCGACCTGCTCGGGCTTATGCAGAGCCATGGCGGACGGGTGGACGAGGCCACAGTCGTCAAAGCCGTGCTGCGGCCGCTACTGGGCGCCCTGATGTACCTGCACCGCTGGGGCATCGTGCACCGAGACGTCAAGGTAGATCCCTTCACACGCTGTGGAATCTATTTGCTGGCAAGGATGGAATCGCCCGCCCCGCCCTGTCTTGCATCCTTATACGCCACGCTTTCTTACCTTGTGTCTCCTCCTCGCTTCCCGCTTTGACTGCAGCCCGAGAACGTCTTGTTCGCTGCGGATGGCACCGTGAAGCTTGCGGACTTTGGTCTCGCTATTAATATGATTGAGGAGCGCCCAATCAGCCGTGTGGGCACCCTCGACTATATGGCGCCTGGTGAGAAGGGAGGGATGAGACTGAATCGCACTGCATGCATGGTTGCATGGTTACTGCCTACTGGGACTTAGGAACTTGCCCGCAGCATATGTACGTCCTTCGCATTGCTGCCGTCGCGCCTTTTCCCTCATAATGCCCATCGCCAGCTGCGTCGCTGACCCCTTCTTCCCTTGTCTACTCCCCTATCGCGCCTCAGAGGTTCTGCGATGCCCGGTAAAGCAGAGCATGGCCATGGCTCCGAAGCCCGGCAGTGCGGCCAGGTACGGCTACGCCACGGACGTTTGGGCGGTGGGTATCGTGACGTTCGAGCTGCTGACGGGGCTGCCGCCGTACGCCTCGGAGTGCCGCTACCAGGTAGGAAGGGTTCGGTCCTAGGGAAGGGGGCGAGAACGTGGGGTGATCGGACCCAGGAGGGTTGGGAAAAGGTGCTAGGGGGATGTGCATGAGCTTGCAGTCCCAATCGTAGCCCACATCTGGCTTGTTTGTTGTACTGCAAACAGAATTCATACCGGTATCCGCTTAATGGTTCATGTATTCTTGTCCTGCAGGCTGAGTCTCGCATCTGCGCCGGCCAACCGCCACTCTTCCCCAGCTCCATCTCGCCTATGGCCCGGGACTTTATCCTGCGGCTCCTTGCCCCTGTGCCTGGCGACCGACCCACGGTTCGTCAGATGCTGGAGCACCCCTGGATCGCCAACCCAGACGCCTGCGTCGCCCAAGCCCGTGCCCACATGCAACGCAGCCTGGCTCCTATCGCCATGTCAGTTCCCGTATCCGCTGCTGCTGCCGCTGCCTCGGGTTACGGCGTTGCGGACTACCACCACCCCGCCTTCCTCCCCGGCTCCTCCCACCACTACTCTTCCTACATCTCGGCAGCAGCCCATGCGGACGTTGGCAGCAGCGGCAACAACAGCAGCAGCGGCTGCGGCGGCGGCTTCCCAGTCCACGGCGCATGTGCCAAGGCGCCTGGCTCCTCCTCCTCGCCTACCGCTGCTAGCGACTGCAACACCCTCAGCTCCTCCTCCTCGGTGTTGCTCAACTCTGCCCGCCTGCCCGCCATCCAGCAACACCACAAGAAGCTACAGCCCGATAGCTCCTCCTCAGCCCCCGACCACCATCAACCCCATGCCATCGCCCCCGCAGCCGCCGCCTCCTCCCGGCCTACCGAGCAACAGCAACACCCCCGCAGCAGCACGAACAACGACGCCAGCAACAGCGGCAACGCCTCCGCAGCCTCCAAGCCGCAATCCAACCTCAAGCCGCACCCACCGCCGCCTCAGCCCCATGGCTCTAACCGCCCCCACCACATCGCCGTCACCGCCACCGCCGCCGCCTCATCCGCATCCCAGCAACAGCACCCCAGGTCATCTGCCGGCGGCGACACCGCTGCCAATGCGGCAGCGCAGCAGCTACGCGGTCTCCAGGCAATCCAGGTTGTGGATCTGTCCCGACTGCCTGTCGACCAGTTGCAAGGCGTCATCAAGAAGCTCCAGCAAGCCATGCAGCTTGCCGCACTGCAGCAGCAAGTGGACGCGAACAACGTTGCGGCTGCCGCTGCGGGTTGTGTTGTCGTACGAGGCAGTGTTGGCGGGGCCGGCAAGGCCACATCTCCGTCTGATGGCGGCTCCGCCGTTGCGCCGCCGTCGCCGACGCCCAAGCCGGCGACTCGGGCGTACCCGAGCGAGGCGGGCTGCGGGTTTGACGGCCGGGCAGGAGATGTTGACATGACGGAGGCTGGAGCGCAGCATCGTACGGCAGCGGATGCGGCCGTCATGGCATCGATGATGCATCGCTCTAGCGGTGGTGGTGCGCCTTCGGAGGGTGACGGCACGGTGTATGTGAGCATTGGGAGCACCCGGAAGGTGGCGCAGTGCGGTGGGGATGGAAGCATGGGAGGAGCCACGTGCAATGTGGCGGCCTGGCTGAAGCAGCTGACTGCCATGTAAGATTGGCAGAGGCAGTGATTGGTTGTGTGAGGCGACTTTGCTATGACCCTGAAGTCCTACGTGTAAGCTAGTGGAGTTGGAAGAGGCCTGGTGTGGAGTTAGGAAGTTTAACCTGTAGCCTTTTGGCTTTGACATGCACAGCTAAGGTTGCATCGTTGTTAGTGTAGGACACGGTGTACACCTGAAGTTTTTCGCGCCTGAAACACGGTGTCAACACGGCTTGTATTTTTGCCGTAAGGTGATCCGTTTGTGTGTTTTGTTTGGTTTGCATTGGTGTTTACGGTCCGTTGGGCCATGTTGAAGGGCTGCAGGTGGGTTAATGCGGTCACTGTTGTGTTGTACGACAATACTGCCTTACTGTGTGAAACCTGGTGATTCGTATTCTCGTGATCTACTATGATAGGTGATTAGGGAGATACAGCTCTTACTGAGCAAGGCAGACAACTATGTTCCGTGATAGGATTAACCTGGTTAGACATCATAGTGATGGGTGCATGACCCATGGTTCCCTGTGCCGTACGTGCGCTAATTGTGCCCACGCAAGCTCTTTTGGCCTCATATTGGTCTATCTTAGGGCGCGGCCGATGCCGCCAGCGATTCGGAGTTAAAGACAGACTCGACGACGACGCTTCTTGGAGAGAACGAAGCCGACGGGGCGTTGAGCACTGAAAAAAATGTAACTCACCACCTGGATGCTTGGTCTGTCTCTCTGGTCCCTCTTGGATTCGAACATGCACCCAAAGATGACAGGCCCCTCCTGAGGTTGTGCTTGGCATCCCGCTGTAGCGCATCTCTTCCTTATTTTGCTTTGGGTAACATGGTCCCTTGTCTCCAAATGGATTCCATGGCCTCAGTGATGCATGTCCCCGTTAGACCTCGGCACATGGTGAGGGTCCCCCCTTCATGCTCATACAGAGCGGGCTTACGGCTTCGGGGTGTAGCTATAGTCTGCCATGGCATGTATGCTATGCATATGGCAGAGTACTGTACACATCAACGGGGAGCCAGGGTGGCATCCGGAGTGATCACCCACACCACCACTACACCCGGACCACCAATGCATCTCGCTCCAACGAGGCTGTTCCGCAATCCCCTACTCCCTGTTCAACCCCCCATGTTGAATGACTGTCTGCGTTGCGTGGGTTGCAATGTCATGTAAGACCATAACAATACGCTGCAATTGGCCCAGCCACCTTGCTATTCCAAATAGCTAGACGACTGTTACTATGTCTGGTTTGCTTGGCCTCGAGCGTCTAGAAGCGTGATTCAACATTAAACGGTAGCCACACATACAATGTATGGCACCCGCGTCCCTAACCTCGAAGCCACCTTTCCACACTCTAGGTAGTTTGGTAAATTGTGAAGTTCTTCAAGGTATATGCAATATCTTCTTTTGCGTTCAGCTTATCTTCTATCTGCAGATAGTGGTTTCATGGGACCATAGCGTTCGCGCTCGGTGTTGCTTCCATGTATTAATCACAAGGGACGTGCTCGAGCCTACATGTATGAACAAGAGAAGTAGGGGTGTTTTGGACAGTAGTTACGCCGTACCGCAACGGGTCGCATCGCCCGCCATTTGCGGTGCGCGCCTTCATCATTTACCTGCTGCGTGTGCTAGCTTACTCACATATTCAAAGGACTGCTCACTCACCTATAGCAGCGCCTACAGAGAACGGCATAGACTCATCAAATTTAGCTGGAACCTGCCCTGAAACGGTCACTTGGCTAACCTACTCACCTAAGGGCATAGCCTAGACCATCAAAACAGCCATGGAATGTACTAGTCCTAAGTAGCGGTATACATATACACTCAGTAGACCAGAAGGAGCGCACTGAAATTCTTCTACGCAGTAACATTGCCTTCCGGGCAACCGCCATCAACTTCACCGCTCGTGAGGCAGGATCATATTGGGCTGTTTTCCCACGCCATAATTGTGCCCAACAAAGAGGTGGGTCACCGCCAGCGTGCGGAGGATTTAAGGTGCATGGCCAATTGCTGGGGCGTCTTTTAATGGTTATTGCAACGCAAATCGGTGCTGGGGGACCAATAGCAACTTTGCTAAATGCAAGATGTCTCCACGGAGTGCACAGCTGACATAAACCAGCGGCGGTTGCTCACATTTGTGAGGTTGTAGTTTTGACCAGAGCGACGCGTTTGTGCTTCAGTGATGTTTAAGCGATGTCCAGAGCCAAGTATTTCTAGTCACCGTGCGTCGGGCCCTTTTGGCGTTGTCACTTTGGCATTCCCCCCATACTATGATTTTACCATGCTCACAAGACTTTTCTTCCCCCTCTCCCTCTTAATCCCTTAGGCAGGACTCTAAGCCCCACCAAGCCAACCTACCATGGCTGACGCGGCGCTCTCCAACAACCCTGTCTCCACCTCATTTCGCCATCCACCTTCCGCTTTCGTCGAGGTCCAGCAACAGCAGCACCGCACGGAGGGCGGATCAGAGCTCTTCATGGAAAGCCTTCTGCCCGCTGACTTGACATTTGCAATCGAGTTTGAGGACCAGCAGCCCAAGCCACTGAAGCCTCCTGCCTTCAAGCCCACCGCCCTGCCTACCCAGCTCCTGCAGCCCTCGTCTTCCGCCGTTCCCCTTCACAATCCCTGGAGCTACGACCCAGCGGCTGAAGACCACTTTGGCAACAGCAGCCCTGCGGCAACTCCCCTTCCTCAAGCCCACTCCCACCATCCCGCACATTACCCAGCGCCTCCTACCTTTCTCCAGTCCAGCTGCAGCGTCCCCGTCTCCTCCCCGCAACGCCACCCCAATTCCTCCAGCAACTCCCGCTTCCCCCCACCCCTGCCTACCACTCAGCACCCGCGCGGGAGCCCCGCCTTGGGCTCTCCGCTGTCCTCCAATCCCTCAGTTTCCCTCCGTCTCGCCTCCAACGGCAGCCCTCACGCCTCTCCACGCCGCTCCCCCGGCCAGATGAACGCAGAGGAGTATTACGCCGCCGGTCAGCCGCCGCCGCCACCACCAAGGGAGGGAGCTCGGGGCTGCGAGGGCAGTCTGCGGAATGCCCTGCTAAGCCGCAGCTTTGTCCGCCGTACAAGCGCTAGCAGCGGTAACAACTTCCAGTCGCCTCCACCGCCGCCACCGCCGCCGCCACCGCGTGATGGCTCGCCGACGCCGTACTGTCCCCCGTTGGACCTCGCGAACCTTCCGTTTCACGGCGACGGCTCCGTCATCGTTACCCAGAACTCCCGTGGCAGCGGCGGTGCGACAAACGGCGCCGCCGGCGACTGCTGGGTCCCCCCGCCTCCGCCGCCACCTCCGCCGAGCAGCAAGACCAACACGCCGCGTACGCCCCCTGGCGTCATGTCGCCTCCGCCGCCGCCGCCGCCGCCGCCCCCGCCGCGCTTTGAGCAGGACCGCCTTCGCAGCACCCGGAGCGCCTCATGCGCTACCACAGTACAACACCTGTCGTACGGCAACAACGGCTACAGCTCAGCCGCCCCGCCTCCGCCGCCGCCGCCACCACCTCCCCCACGGTCCGCCGCTGAGGCTAACGACGGCGCCGCCGCCGCTGGTGCTGACGCCGACGGCGCCGCCGCTGGCTTCCAGGCCCCGACCCTGGAGGAGGCCCAGCGACTTGTGGCTGCGGCGCTGCAGGATGGCTCTGACGGCAGCCTGGCGGCGGCGCTCGAGCTCTCGTCCAAGCTTCAGACCCTAGCGGCGCAGCGCATGGCCTCCTCGCATGCGGCCGCCGGGAGCCCTGCCCGCCAGTCGCCTTCCGGAGCCAACGGAAACGTTACTGTTCTTCGCAGTCCTTCGCCGCTGGGAGGTACCGTCCCCGCTGGTCGCGGTGCAAGCGGCAGCCTTTTGGGGCATCCCGCTCCACCTCCGCCACCGCCACCGCCACCACCGCCGCCGCCGGCGGACAGCGGGCGTCTGGCTACCATGGGCAGCGGCGCCTATGCGAGGTCGACCGGAGCCGTTCCCCGGGGCTCCCCAGGATACAGTGTGCAGCCACCGCCGCCTCCTCCGCCACCACCGGCGCGGCACCTCAGCCTCGGCAGCGGCACAATGTCTCAGATGCTTGGCCACGCGCCTCCGCCGCCGCCGCCACCTCCGCCGCCGCCGCCGCCTGCACGCATGCCGGCACCTCAGCCGCCGAGTTCCGATGTGGCTGCGGCTATGTCGGCTCTTCCGGAGGTCCGCAGCCCCTTTGCCTTGTACCAGCGCAGCAACGATGGGGACTACTGCCCCACGCCTCCCGACGAGACTGCCTTGTTCCAGCAGCACCTCACGCAGATGACGCAGCTAGGCCCTCTCTACACGGCGGCCCTAGCTGCCGCCGCGGCGACCGCGGGGTGCCCGTACGACAACCCGTATGCGGGCGTCTTTGGGTCGTTGCTGACGACACCCTTTGGAAACCCCGATTCATTTTGCGGCATTGGCCAGGACGCCTATGGCTGCGGCGGCGTGTTTGGTAACAACCTGTACGGCAACTGTGCGACAAGCACGGCAGCTGCTGGCGTCGCGGATGTTGGAGAGGATGCGTCCCTCGCGTCGCTGCTGACGACGCTGGCGGCGCTTGCGAAGCAGAGCGGCGGCGGCGCCGCCGCCATGGTCGCTGCCGCCGGCAGCGGCGGCGGGATGTCCCCGAACGCGGTTTCCGCTGGCATGGCTAGTGAGGGCAGCGCACCCTCCGCTGGCAGCAGCAGCAGCAACGCCACTTCCGTCGCTACCAACACCACGACGCCGGAGGGTCCCTCCACACCTTCCAGCACCATTGGCGGCGCCGTCGAGTGTGAGACGTCCTCGCCGCTCCTCATAAACGCTGCTGCGGCTGCTGCCAAGTGCAACGACTGTGTCGAGCCCGAGGATTTGGTGCCTTCAGGCGCTGTTGCGGCAGGTGCGGAGCGTCAGGCGGTAAGGAACGGCACACTTCAGAGCTTGGCTGCCGCGGCTGCTGCGGCGACCTCTTCAAACGCTTCGGTGGCTGCTCTGCAGCAGGCCCTGGCCCTCTTGGCTGGAGAGCTCCCCGCGGGCTCAGCCGGTGCTTGTGGAGGTGCCGCCAAGGAGAGCGGGGACGCTGCCACCGTGGCAGCTGCACTTGCGCTGCCTGGCGTGACAGCTGCGGATGTCCAATTGGCCAAGAACCTGCACGCGGCGCTGAAGGTGGTGGCGATGCTTGAGTCTGTTACTGGCCATGCCAACTAAATTCATGAGGACGATATGCGCGCAGGACGGTTAGGAGCAGAGCTTAAGGCTAACGTTTTGTCGAGTTAAGGAAACGCTCTGGAAGGCAGCTCAAAGGACGGCTATGGTTGTTGCGATAAGACGGTCCTTGTGATCTTGTGAAGGCTTGGGTGTTAAGTTGGCATAGGTGTTAGATCCTCGTAGAATTCAGAATAACTTTCTCTTTTATCTTGACCCTGGAAAGCGTTGAGGATGCCTTCCTTTAGTCATACTACATAAAAACGGATCGGGGTGTTATTTCTTTGGTTGGTAGCTCGCTTGAAGCTCTTTCTTTTTGGCATGTTAGTGGTGTCTGGGACACCCATTATCTTTTTGTAGGCTAATGCTGGAGTTGTGCGGGGTGACCTTATTGATGGCTTGTAATACCCCAGTAATATGTTATAAGGGTTCTATCCCAACAGGAAGGCAGGCATGTCCCAGAGCGGCGTGAGATAGGATGTACTTGCAGAGGCTGGGCGCGCGCTTGCTTGACGACGGTTGGCAAGTCTTGATATCTTCCTTAAACCGCAGAGTGCGATTAATTTACCATAATTACTGTAGTTTCTTAATACCTTTTGGTGTAGTTGTTATATAACACCCGTGTACTCTTACTAGTGTGCGGTAACCCTGGCAATTACCTGTGACACCTATGGGTTCAGCATGCGTTTCCAGACCCATTCCACAGTTAGGGTGTAAGCAGAGATGGTGCCATAAATGAATATTTTGCTGTCTTGTGCCGTACGAATTGCTGAAAGGTAGAGCTACGGCCCAGGTACTCGTGCCCATGTCGAGAAGCCGTGCCCCCGATGTGATTGTGGGAGCACTTTGTGAACCTGCGCTCAACCTAACCAACGTGCCTAGGCAGGCAGCTAGCTCGTATAAGCGGCTCTGTCGGTAGGCGTAGTGACCCATCGTCAGTGTTAACCCATCCTGCCAATCTTATGGTGCGGCTTGTTTGGCGGCATTGTTGAGTTGTGGACCAGGCTATTAGCGCTAGGGTGCCATTTGCTAGGCAGTGGGCTTAGCTTGTATAGCGTAGCCATCCAAACCCTAGCCAAGCCTAGCCCACTAAAGATACAAAGCGCGACCCGTGTGGTTTGTTGCTGATTGGTTATTAGCCGCTGTTAAAGAGATTTCCTGGCTCGGACACAACCTTATGCCGTATGTGTGTGTTGACATGGGATGCTGAGTTTCGCTACAACTGTTTGTTTGGCCCCTCCTTACGCCAGGCATGAATGAGCAGGCGGTACGGATTTGTGCCGTACGTGCAGAATAATGCAGTAGCGACTTGGTTGCCTACTTTAGATTCGTCTTAACTAAATGGACGTACGACAGTAACAGTCAGCCTAGTTGACGGGTATGCGTGTCATCTGTGTATGCGTGTCACCAATGTTGGTGCTGTAGTAGGAAACCGTGTAACAGACATTCGACTCTAGCCTACCCGGGACCCTAGGCCACGTTCCACTCGTCGTTGCATTCTCCTCGCTCTTTCCCTCCTTCCTGGGATGGCCCGGTCGTGAGGCTACTCATTACTACACAATACTTGCGTTATGCGCCCACAACTGCGGCAGTTAATTCACATTGGGCCACTGGCACGCATGCGTTGCAAACGACCGCACACAAATCCTACAATCATGTAGTGACCGTGCATGACAGCATGAGACATGAACACCCTCCGGCACAGCAAATAGCCACAGGTAAAAACAATTGTCACATGTACACGCCCACATGCACTCCACTGCACTGTACACTCTGCCCTCCGCTACCTACATGTACCGAGATTTTATGTATGTCGTACATTCCGTACATTGCCGGGCCCCCTGTCATGACACAGCGCGTGTTTGTCATATCGTGTGGCTTAGAGTTGCCGTACGTGCTCGTCCAACCGTGTCTCGCGTATGCGATTTGTGGTCTATCTAGAGGATGTGATGATAGTGCCATTGCTTGAGTAAACGCTGGAAGTTGCGTGACTAGTGTGAGCGCTTGGCCATGGACATGATGTCATGCTTGCTGTGCGACTTGTCATTAGAAGAGACGCTATTTACCGCGATGTTTACATCTTGCTATTGTCTGTTGATTTGTCTATGATATCCTGACTACAGGGAAGGTGGGATATTTACGTGAGCTTTGCCGTACCGTATCGGCATGCTGGCAAGGGTGCGGAGACTCTCGGTGGAGTCACCTTTGCCAGCGCAGCTAGCGGAGAAGACTGAACTTCTTGCGTGTCTTTTGGCCGCCTAAAAGCGCCACTGATATCGCTGTGCGTGTAAAAGGACATTACAACCAATTGGCATCCACTCTCCAGTGTTTCCTCTCTACCCTCGCGCGGGAGCCTGGACAAGCACCCAGGACTACTCCCGTACTCCCAACCCACCCGTGCAACAGCACGTGATACGTCATGACAACGCATGCACGAACGCAATCCTGCTTCACGTGCCCCCTCGCCCCATGCAACCCACACACGCACGCCCCATGCAACCCATACATGCACGCCTTCAAGCACCACCACTTTACTCGCCGCCTCACAACCGGCAACCCACACACGAATGCAAGCACCCCTGCTTTTCTTGCCCCCTCGCTCCATGCAAACCAAGCACGAACGCATGCAAGCACTCCCACCATACTTGACCCCTTGCCCCGTGTAGCCTGCACACGCATGCACGCATATTCCCACTTCACGCGCTCCCTCGCCCCATGCAACCAACACACGCACAAATGCCAGCCCTCCCACTTAACTCGCCCCATCGCCCCATCAAGCCCCCACACACATGCAACACGGACCCGCACGCATGCAAGCACTCCCACTTTACACGTCCCCTCACCCGGTGTTGCCTCCACATGCATGCAATCACCCCGCTTTACACGCCCCTTCACCCCATGCAACCAACGCACGCACGGATGCATGCAAGCGCACCAGCTGTACTCGCCCCCTCGTCCCGTGCAACCCACACACGCACGCTTGCAAGCACCACCACTCTACTCACCCCATTGCCCCATCCAACTCAGACCCGCACGCATGGAAGCATTCCCACATTACACTTCCCCTCGTCCTGTGCAGCCCACACACACATACGTGTGTGGCCAGTTATTTTAACATACGTGTATGTACGTATCGCCTCGCGGCCAGTTATTTTAACCTACGCGTACCCCCACTTTACTCGGCCCCTCGCCCTCTGTAGCCCCTACACGCACACATGCAAGCACCCCCACTTTACTCGCCGCCTCGCCACCTGCAACTTACACACGCATGCGCACTCTCCTGCCTCACACGCCCCCTCGCTCCATACAACCCATGCTCGCACACAAACAAACTCCACACTTTACAGCCCCCCTCGCCCCATGCAACCTGATCACATGCGCAATCACACACCCCCTTACGTCATGCATGAGCACCCAGCCCGGCACACGCCCAAATGAAATCAAAAAAGGAACGAAACACCCTAAACCCAAACCCCGCCCAAACTCTACACAAGTTGCGACGGCCCCCCCCCAGGCGTGCCCCGCCATGTAACGAAGTGGAGGGGAGGATTGGAGGACAGTCGGTCGAAATTTTGTCTGTGACCGTAAATCCCCCCGTAACGAAGTGAAGGGGAGGATTGGAGGACAGATCACAATGACCGTAAATCCCCCCGTAACGAAGTG